GATCTTTGGCTTGTACTGGTAATGAAATGCACATTATGTTCTTGGACTTCATGAGGGAGTTTCCACCTTCGTGTTCAACAAGCTCTTCAACAAAAGTCAAGTCATCACGGTCATTGTCCAGCTTGATCAACATGTCGAACTTGGGGCCAATAATGATTCTAACTTCATCAACAAAACGATGGAGTCCACATCTGTCCATGATGATGGCCTTGGCCCGTGCTCGGACTGAACCGAGGGTATTGTCGGACTTGGACTGATCGTCGGTCAACTCGTCAACCTTCCAGAAGACATATTGCTTGTTGGGGTCACGATACATACGTTTGGGTAGCCCCTCCTGGTAGTCCTCAATAGCAATCTCGTGCACCTCAGGTTCCAGATCAAATGAGATTCTGCGATCATCAGAAGACTTCTTTGCGCTGGCTATCCTCGGAGAGGTATAATCCATGGAATCTTCATTGTCGCTATCAAAGAAGGAATCAATGGTAATGGGAGTCGCTTTCTTCTTTGGCGTCTTCTTGCTGGTTCTCTCTGAGGATGCTGAAGGCGATTTGTCTGCATGTAGGAACTTACATTTGCTCCCGAACTTGCAGGTACCTTCTTGCCAATTCCAACATACCTTCTTTTTGGGTCCAGCTGAAGATGAACTTCCTCTACTTTTCCCTCTTGATGAATCTCGACTTCCGCTTCTGCCTTTCTTACCTTTCATCTTGGCATCATAGACCTTTTGAGAATGACTGTAAAGACATTTGTCACCTTTGTTGCATCCTCCTTTATTGAAGAAATAGTTACAGAAAATCTTCTTCTTGTCCACGGGTGAAGATGATCTTCCCTTCCCACCTTTGCCTTTCTTGTTGTTCTTGTCGGCATGGGACTTCGGAGAAGGTGTAGGAAGTACTGATGCAGCTTCACTCTTCGCTTTCGCCTTAGGCCGTTTGGGAGGATCACCTGTAGACGATGCAGCTGCTTCATTCTCCTTCTTGGTCTTGACGGGAGCGGCAGGCTTGTCTGCATCTTCTAAGGCAGGTGTCGTCTTGTTAGAGGACAACGACAGTTTCACTGCACGCTCTCTATCTTTCAACAGTCGTTCTTGCTTCCCTCGTGCTATGTATCCTTTGATCATACCAGTTAGGTAAGCATAGGTCTTCTCAGGATGCCCTTCATCAAATGTTTTGTATCGGTTGATATCGAAGGCCATAAGCTTTGAATGTTCAATCTTCCGGAACAATGTGTCACGTAGGGAATTGTTGGAAGGCAGATCATCATGTTTCATGTTGTATACGATGTCAAGCCACTTGTTGTAGAATGCCTCAAGCTGATCATCTCCATAATAGTTGAACATATACAAATGATGGGCATTGTAGAGAACTTCAGTATGGTCAGGTGACTTGAAGCTAATCAGTATCATTGCAAATAGTTCTCGTCCCTTGATGAAGTCCCCACTTCTCCCATACAATTGGTTCTTCATGGACATGTCATACTTCACTTGCATGGATTTGTCCCCAGCATTGTCAATAACTTTTCTCAAGGCATTGGAAAGCTTGGCATCAATGGATTGGAATCTCACATGAGGAGCTTTGGCCAGAACCTCCAAGTCAGGTTGATCTGCAAGACACGGGGCTAGCCACGCTTTCCAATCTTCATAGTTTCGATCACCACTTGCAACGCAAACTTCATGAACAACACTTCCCTTCCAGGATGAAAGTTCAGTGGTTTTAGGCCAAGGTTGGAGGCTGATCTTTTCGGCTTCTCTTAGAGATACGGATGACTTGGATCTATCCCTTTCGAGGTTCTCCAACTCCTTGACATTGGTGTTGTACTCGTTCCTGAGCTTCTCGAAGGCTTCAGCTTCTGCTCGGTATTCCTGCTCTTCATCATTGGCACGATCTTCAGCTTGAGAGAAATTGTTCTTGTAATAATCTTTCCGATCTTCCATCTTCTTCAACTCATCTTGAAGATTTCGGATTTCATTGTTCTTCTCTTGCTTCATCTCGTCCAATTCTGCTTTCAGTTTGGCACATTTCTCTTCACATTCATTCCGAGGCATAGCACTACTGGGGTACCCATGTAATGTAGTCGGTCTATTCATTGATGAAGAAGAATGAGCTTGGTTTTCCAACTTCAGGGCAGCAATGGTGCTAGACATCTCTTCTACCTCAGCAAAACGCTCATTGGCCAATTGATGCATCTCGGTCAAGTGGCTTTCAGGAATGGAATAGTCAGTCGCACCTTTGATCACGAGTCTTCTGTCGTTCAACATCTTGATGGACTTACCTGCATCCCTGTGAGCACGCTCTAGAGAGTCCTTTTGGGCTTCAAGTTCAGTATGAAGACGAGCAATAGCTGTGTCCCTGTCATTGATTTCATTGTGCAAACTGTCGAACAAGTTACTCGTCACATTCGGATTGTTGCTCATGTGATCGATCTTGTTCAGAGCATCTTGATACTTCTTACCAGTTTCATCGAAATTTTGCTGGAAAGTTCTGAGCAGGTTCTCAGTGTCAATGAGTTCAGTTCTGTTCTGTAAGTACAACTTGTCAACTTCAGCCTTGGATTCCTTTCAAGCTGTCACGCTCACGCACGGCTTGCATGTACATCTCGTATAGAGGTCCTCCATGCGGTGATCTGCTTGGTGAAGATCTTCTGGCTTGTTGACAGGAAAGTTCATGATACTGATTCTTCGATTCAGTCAGTTGTTGTTGCATTCGATCTAAAAGACTTTGTTTCATGTGTAGTTCAGAACGTAGTCCCATTATCCTCATGTCCCGCATGCCGCCTGATTCAGCTAGAGATTCTTCAGAAATCCTGTTCTCAGAAATCGCTAGTCGAGATTGTAAGTTCTCATTGTGGATCACCTGCAATCGAAGTTGTGATTCTTCCAAAGCTAAGTGATGTTCACATTCTGCATAACGGTCATGTTCAGATCTTATGTTACTACGGAACTCCTTCATGATCTCGTCCCTCTTCATGTCAGCAGCATCTAGCTCAGTTTCCAGTCGTCTGACATTCATGGCCATGGTGTGCTTCATCGTCTGGTTCTGATTGGCAACCTCGAGCATCTCGATTTGTAAAGCACATGTTTGGTCGTTAGCGTAGCCGACTGCTAGAGCTTCTTGCTTGGCATTCATCTCTGCGTTTTCCAGTTCCAGTCTGAGTTGATTGATGTGAGCATTCGCATCAGCGCCCACATGCACCATAATTGCGTTTGCTTGTCCCATTTGTTCATCAAATTCCGAACGTAGTCGTGAATATTTGAATTCCAAATGAGATGCAGCTTCATTCGACATAGTCTGATACCTTTCCAACTCTTCGATCCTGTAGGTCGCACCTTCATCTTCCTGTTGTGCAGCCTGTAACTCGAAGTTCAGCATCTGGAGTTGTTCGGTCATCGACATCATCTCTTGATGAGTGGTGCTTTCCAGGAAATTAAATTGTTGATAGGCATATGCTGTCGTCTCGCTCAATCTTGCCTGAAGTACAGATTCTTCTTCAGTGGCCCTTTCCAGTGATGTCTTGTATTCAGATAATTCACTCTGATAGGCAGTGAAGATGTCGCTACCACTTGACGGGGCGTTCACTTGCTGATAAGATCCTGTCCCTGATGGAGTAGCGTCCTGAATCGGTGAAGGCGGATTCGACGACGTAGTCTTTGCCTTAGTCCTTGGAGTCATCGGAGGCGACAATTGTCGTGCAGATGATCTTCTCTTTCCAGGTGTGCTGTCCCTATCTTCAATTGCTTGCATTGTCGAAATTTGTCTCCCTCTAGGAGCAACCAGATGTCGCCTGGGTTGGCTTGTTCTCAATTCTGAGGCATCGCTTCCACCAGTGTCGATACTCTGTGAAGAATTTGACTGCGTGCCGGCAGCTGGTGCAACGGCATGTCCAGAGAAAGAAAATGCGTTATCACTGCTATCCTGTTCAGTCATCTGTAAGGCCCGCGGCTACCCGCTCGTAGGCTCCGTAGGAGTCCTACGGCTGATAACCTGTGAACCGGAGGTTATTTCTCCGATTATGTTCGTTGGGTTGTTATAGAAGACGAATCCTCTCAGTGATGACGTCAACGGAAAAGCAATTTCGGCATGGCTTTCTTTTCTTCTGAAGCTTGCAGGGGTCTTGAGCCAAAGGAGCGATGGATTTCGATCCTTGGCCCACAGGAACTTAAGGTATACTGTACATGGGATTATGTTACGTGCTGTGGTCTACATCCCATTCGCATATATATATATATATAATATATATATGTGTGTCATATATATGTACAGTAAGTGAATGCTTTTCGCAAAGCATGTGTTTGATGTTTTTGGGACTGTACACGATTCAAACAGAAAGAAAACACACTCATAATACAGTGATTTCTCCGCATGGAAGGTCCCCTTCAGTCATGGACTGGGCCCGATTTGTGTATATTGCAGGAAAGGCACTTTCCATGAACCGCAAATGCTGGACATGCTTTGACTTGGATAGCTTAATGCTTGCTGATCAAATCACCAATTTTTTAGTTATCATCTCCATCGTTCTTAGTAAAAATCCCAAGTCGTTACCTTCCCATAGTTTGATGCCTAAGGGCTTAGAGTTTTGATGTTTTTCTATGAAATATATCTGTTTTTGTTTGATTTGTGCCGTTCAAAACCAATTTCTTGTTGGTGAAACCCACCTTGTAGCTGGTCAAATCCCAACTCTGAAGAGACGAGTTTCCATGGCTTCTTATAGTAATCTGCATCCCTCTTTTGGAGGGGTTGTTACCCTATATGTTCCATAAAATAAGAATGTCCCATGGATCCAAAAATTATTAGAAACAATAATCTATATTCTCCCTCCAGAAAGAGTTTTGTTACCACAAATAATTCCATAAATCTCATGAAATCCGATACAGTCCCATAAAATCCCAGAAAATCCTATAAAATCCCATAAATCCCATCTTATGTTACCATAATGTCGCATAAAATAACGATTTCCCTGTTCACGTTCCTCAAGAGCCCTATCTTTTAGTCTACCCGTGGCGCCTCCTGGACCTTGTGCATGGGGTCACTGGCCTCCTGTCAAGTCGGCAGATGGGTATCTTTGTTATAACATTGATACCTGTTGTCATCACAGGATATAGACAGTTGTATAATATATATATGTGTAATTATATGTATATATCCCTACCTCACCAACCATCATGTCTGAATCAAAACCATATTTTTTTCATGGTTTAAACCTGTAGTTGCTCGTTAGACTCAAATTCAATCCCCTAAAACTGGGGCTTCAGTGTTGAACATCAACTTCATGATGGCAAAACCATGGTAAAACTAGGTTTTAAGATAGATGTTTAACCATGATTTAACCATGATTCTGGGATATGGTTAACCCTATTTGGGATATTTCACCATGGATATCTTTATTTCATGAAACCCCTCTGGTAATTTTACATAGCTATGGAAAATCTTTATAGTGGATTTTCCCATTAAAAATGGTGATTTTCCATAGCTATGTTAAATTACCAGAGGGTAACCATGTTTAACCCCCAGAATTCATAGGTCATTCCTATCGCCATCTGCAGCTCCTCGGAACGGCACAGGCCCAGCACTGCTCCACCGCTGCCGGGGAACTTCACGGCACAGTTGCAGCGCCTGCCGCTGGTAACAACAAAAGTCAGTTAAAATGCAAAACGTGATAGAAAGAATGACTTGTTTCATGAGTTTGAAATATTTATGTATGTAATTAGTGATGTAATGTAATGTAATGTAATGTAATGTAATGGTATGGTATGGTATGGTATGGTATGCATGTATATACACATCATCTATATAAATAATATGTACAAATGTACGGATGTACATGTTTACAATTACCCTCTGGTAAATTAACATAGCTATGGAAAATTGCACTTTTATAGTGGATTTACCCATTGAAAATGGTGGATCTTTCCATAGTTATGTTAGTTTACCAGAGGGTATATTATACAACATTTATATCCCACATCTTCGGACTTCGCCCGCGCCTGCAGAGTTCGATCATCTGCAGGTTCTTTGCCCCGAGACATGCGTCTCCATAGATTTTCCTTCGAAAACTGAAGGCACCAACATGACCAATAAATAGGAGGAAAAATATGTTTGCAAAACATGCTATCAATAATGATATGAAAAATATTGAAAAATATTGAAAAATAGTTATCAAACCAGGTCTTATCAAGTAAAAAGTCTCTTCTAGCGCCGCATGATTTGTTTCTGTGTGTTTCTGTCTTGTGTTCAGTCAACAACAGACCCTTCAGGATACAAACCCACTTTAAATGGATACATCAAATCTTCAATGAATAAAATCTCATTCGAATGCATAAATCTAGCATCCATTGTGTCCATCTAGTTTCGGCATGCTTAGGCCACATGTTTTTGTGCAGACCTTCATAGTTAGTAAGTGAGTTGGTTTACCCTAGTCAATTCCGTAGCGCCAGTAGAGGCAATGTCCTTTTTCAGAACTGGGTGAACTAACCCCCATCTATCCAAAATCACCATTTCATATCCACCATAATCTATCCATTTCCCATGGTTTCCAGCAAAATATCCATTTCCCCATGATTTCCCCATGGCTGTCCCCAGGTCCGTGCGCTCCTCCGCAGGTTGAAGTTCTGGTCCATGAGATCCGCCAACGCGCCGTGGTCCTTGCTCTCGATGGCCGCACGGGCCTGGAGCACGCACTTGGAGCGCGTGGAGCGCGTGGATCGCCCAGTGATACCCGACCTGGGTCAACATACAAAAAGCTATGGAAAGATCCACCATGTTTAATGGGAAAATCCACTATAAATGGCCATTTTCAATAGCTATGATTATAAACTATCCCATGGTATACATGATTATCCCATAATAGATGATCCCATAATGGAAAGATCCACCATTTGGAATAGGTAACTCCACTATTTCTATGGGCCATTTTCAATAGCAAACTGTTGGTTTACCAGAGGATACCCGACCTGGTAAATATACAAAAAACATATTAAAAGCTATAGAAGCCATGGCCCATAGAAATAGATGGATGGTTGACCGAAGTTCAAAATGGTGGATTTTCTATAGCTATGTGAAATTACCAGAGGGTAACATACCCTGGCCGTTTTCAGGCTTGAAAGATGAGTTTCCACTAGAACATGATGATTTTCAGGGTCTATGTCAGTTTACCAAGGGTAATTGGAGTTAATATATTCACATATATTCCATATAATTACAGGATTTATGACTCAAAAGTGGAATATCAAGCACTTTTAATGTGGTGTTCAATAAAGATGATATTCCATTTTTAAGTTAGATTTTGTTTGTGGATTACTCAAGAAAGTTGATGAGCCACTTAAGAAGATTGACAAAAAATATTTGGGGAATCAACTTTCACCTTGGCATTTCTTTTACTTAAATCTTGTCCTTAGGGGGAACTTACTGGTATATTTAGTCTCTATTATGAGTCTTAGAGCTTCTTGTTTCAAGAAACGCCAAAATAAGTTGAGTGAGGAACAGTACAATGACCCCATCTTTAGCGTTAATATCCACACTTGCTCTGGACCAAACCCACGTCCATCTCTGTGTTGCTGCAGGGACTAAGACGAAGGTACCGGGGAAGGTGCCCCTAGCGGAAACCCCAACACAAGCCTGAATAGTGCAGCCTCTGGGTTGGAGCCCCCTGATCCTAAGAAATGGAATCCCCTTTTCTGGGGAAGCTTCCGGAGAGTACACTCCCAGGTGGCCTGAATCTCTTAGAATCAGAATGGTCCTTCTTAAAACTTGCATGTTGAGGGTTAATCCCCCTTTTCTGACACACCCAAATAGCATTTGTGTTGAGTGTACATTCCATTCTACTTCCCATTATATATATACATTATCCCTAAAGATGGTTGATGGTAATACATCATCAACTATAACATTATATAACGATATCACTATGTGGGGATACTACCATTCTCATCCATTGTCCACTATTAGCATATAACGTTATGTATATGTATCGATGGTTTTTTCGTATCCATATCATGGTATATATCCATGTTCTATATCATCAATAGGTCCATAACTATTATCCATTATGGTATTCTTATCCATGGATATAATATGTCCATAATATATCCATTATCCACATCGAGTGCTATTCTTCCCATAAGCCCCACACCAGTCGCGTAGCGCCAGTACCTTAGAGGCCAGGTCTCCAAAGGTGCGCATCGCCGAAACCACCTGGTGGCCGTGGTGACTCGGAACAGCTCCACGATAAGATCTTGAGAAATCTGAGGATCAAAAATCATCAAGTTGTGTTCATCTATCACCATCTATCACCCCATTTTGATCAATTTTGGGTTCCGGAAGATGTTGAAACCCAGGCTCCAGAGAGGTTGATTGATATATTGGCAATTCGCTTCGGAGAATGGAACCAAAGAAGTGTCTTGGGGCTCGCAACATGAAGCACCTGGATGCTGAAGAATGAGGATCGAGTCATAAATGAGCCAAAACATCCATCCATGCTTTTCCAACCCATCAACTTCGACCTCGCTTTCTCCAGCGTCCCAACGTGCCCGCACATTGGAGTGGATCTGGCGAGGAACTGGACTATGAAGGGGCATGGTCTGAAGGTCAATGGCTCTTGTGGATCCTCAATGTATTCCCAGTTGTATTTGCTGAAATTGTTGTTATATATTTCATATTATGTCTTAACTACTCGCCATTTCGCAGTTGTAGACGCTTCATCCGTCCCTACAGTACCCGAAATCGTGCAAAGGAAATCCTTGAGAACAATGATTCCTTCCTCGGATCCTTTGCTCTTTGGCCCGCTGAATCCGGAAAGCCCCATGCAAAAACTATGGGAAAAACCATGGGAAAAACCCATGGAACGTGTCCGGTGATTTCATGTTCGAAAAAGTCCATGGTCTTTACAGGAATCACCATGGTTTTGTTCCAAAAAATCACCATGGTTTTCAAACCAATCTGGTTGGTGGGGGCCACCTACCCCTCTGAAAAATGATGGAGTGAAAGTCAGTTGGGATGATCGCATTCCATTCCCAATATATCATGGAAAGTCATAATCCAGCCATGTTCCAGTCACCACCAATCAGACACATTACTATGGCAATATCAATGGGGGACACCACTTCTAGAAAAAAAACAATACTATATATATATTATGGAAAAATAATCCAAATGTTCCAAACCACCAATCAGTTATACTACTTGGTTGATAGGTTTCACTATGGTTTCAATATTATGGGAAAAAAAAAGTTCCAAACCACCAACCAGCAATCCATTGATCCAGGGTTCACCATGAACATATATAACATATGGCCCTCCGACTCTCCGACCGTACCTTGCCGGAATCCGAGGGATCCGCCTGACAAAAAAAACCACGGCGTGGCACGTAGCGATGTGTTCGTTCATGAGAATGGCGGATTTGCACCCAATTTATGGCATTTGAACGGGGGGAAAATGGTGACTCACCAGTGGAATTATCATGATCTATAGCGTATGATAGCCGATTTATGGCATTTTCCTATAGGAACTGATGATTCACCAGGAAGTGATTGGTTTGGAGATCATCTGCTGGGAGACATCCTTTGATAACTCACAACTTTGCTTTTTGCAACAAACAGAAGAAAATCCAACAGGCCAACATGAAGATCTTGTTTCAAGCAAGATGTTTCCCGAAATCTACCAACAACATCCTTATCGTTGCTTTATGTTGCTTCATGTTCGATGCTTCCATGAAACCCCCATGAAATCTCCATTTCAAGCATATTGAAGCTATGTATCTTATATTTCCATTGGATTTGATCGATTGGATCAATCCCTAAATAGAAAAATTGGAAAACCCCTTTGAAAAATCCCCCTGTCTTTCCATCAGAGGAAAAAACCCTAGCGCCTCATAGGCGATGAAGAACGGCAACGAGGAGAGCCAATCGAAGGAGCTCCGGGAGAGTCGCTCGTACCTGGTGCGGATGACGAGTGGAGCATGGCGCCCATGGCGTTGGAAACAAGCCGAGCGGAAAGCAGATTCTTGCGATTTATATGGGATTTATATGGATCTTTATAGGATTTATATGGTGATTAATGGGATTATATGGGATTTATATGAAATTTATAGGGTGAAATTTATATGGGTTATGCGAAAATCTATGGAATCTATGGTTTCCTTGGAGTTGGAGGGTGGTTCTTCTCAGAATTGTCACATCAGCTTCATGACAGTTTTTTAGGTGACCTTCATGTCCCAACATCCGTGAGTGCAAAAATGCTGTTGCGGCCACCAATACTGGAGGCTGTAGCATGTCACCGAAATCACCTTGTGACCCTTGGAGACTCCCATGGAGGATCTTGCTGCACCCACATCCCGAGGCCCTTTTGGTGCCTGCCATAGCCCTTCTCCTGCGGGTCTCCGTAGACTGTGCATTGTCCAATGGGGACTAATGGGGACTCATTGCCCAATAGTCTGTGATTGGGGAAGAGTGCTCAAAGTGATCTGTGCTAAGTGAGACAATTTGTAAGTGCTTTTATGCAAACCTATAGACTATTCCCTCATCACTGTAATCACAGCTTGTCTGGAACATGCTGGAAATATGTGTTTGACTGTGGCACGATCTACCGGAGAGGAAGAAGACAACTTGCGGCTCTCAGATTCATTAATCGAGGTTTTTAAAAGGAAACTTGGGAAACATGCCAACTTTGAACGGTTTCCGTGCTTTTATGTTAAAAAAACCTTTTTCCACGGCTACTCGGCTACTATATCCATATGTTCTACCCCCACGTCTCGTGCTTGGTTGCATTCCACATCAGCCAAAAAAAACTAGCTTGTAGGCAACTGCTCTGGAAGTGCAAATTCAGATATTTTTAGTGGTTCTTCTGGTGCATCATTCTATTCTGGTGCCCAATTTTCGTACTGTAATCACAATTATTGCCATCAACTGACATTGTTTGTATTGTACAGATCCGTTGATGTCTTGGAACATCTTGGACACCCAGTCGTCAAATTGGCAAAAACGAGAATAACTACGGTAGTTTCTTAGAATGCAATCGGTGTTGCTTAACCAACAAACTCCAAATCCCGGCAGTGAAACCATCCCTTTCGTTCCAATGAACGGTAGCCACTGACCTCACGTTCGACAGCGTCCAGATGCCGGTCCTTCATGTGCTGTGCGTCGAAGTCCATAAAGACCAGACCCTGATAGACCTGCCGATGGGTCCCAAGCGCCAAGACCCCAAAAAAACGCTTGTAGGGTAGAAGCCAACAATGGGGGATTGATGCAACAAAGACACCATCATTGATGGGCAAAAAAGACCAACTTCAATGGGCAAATGAAGTTGGGGATGGTCTCAACAAGCAGTGGTTTGGATTAGCCAAGCAGTGGGGTAGAATCCTTTTGGTTGATCAAAGAAAAACAACTATACCATTTGGTGATGACTAACATAGCCATGGAAAATCACCATAGAAATAGATGGTTTACCGTTCTTAAAAATGGGTGGATCTTTCCATGGCAAACTGTTAGTCATAACCAGAGGGTTACTTGCGACAAAAATGAGGTCAAACCAACCAAACAATGGTCAGATAACGTAGCATTTTTTACCAAGCACTTGCTGAAGAAAAACTGGTCAGTGGTCACTCAGCTCATCCCGCCAACATGCTCGACACTTGGATCACTTGGGCACTCAAAGCGATTGGGGGCTGGAAGATAAACATACGTTCGCTGTATAATGTCAACCCCGGATTTTGCTAAACCATGGTTTATTAATTAGGGGGGTACTACTCCAATAGTCATTTCATCTAATACTTACTGTAAATGGTACCCTCCCAATTAAACAGCCTAGGGCCTAGGGGTTTATTAATCCAGGGTTGACATTGTTGCTGTATGCTGTATGTCAAAACCGCCTGAATGCATGTACACCTAACAACCTGGTATCTCCTCTGAAATTATGATCGTGACCGAAAGAGTCAGACATCTCAATTGCAACAGTGCCTGACCCATAACAAGAATCAATGGGGGCATCATCCTCCAATGGGAAAACCCTCCGTTATGATTATGCAGAATTTGTCAGTCATATTTTGTCTATCATTCTAACTGACCAATTTGAACGATTTCTTGGGTCGTACCTTATTTGCAATGATTCAAACTGAAATCGAGTGAGGTCGGTTTGAAAACAGAACTTCTATTGTCATCGCATCATTCATTGGGTCCAAAAACAAAAAATAAGTTCATAAACCAAATGATCATTATGACAAAACCATCTCATTAATTGTCCAATTCATCATGACAAATTCATTCACAAACCAGAAGCGACGCAGCCAGGCCTGGACCACACGATCCTGTAGGCCAGCCTGACTGACAAAGGGGCTGACTTTGGTTGTTGGTTTCGGCAGCATCCTGTACTTACCCTCTGAAAATGGTGATTTAATGGGATTTTATAGTGATTTAATGGGATATTATTGGTACTTACCCTCTGGTAACTTAACAGTTTGCTATTGAAAATGGCCATTGAAAGTTCGTTGATGTACCCATTAATAGCATAGTGGATCTTTCCACAGTTATGTAAACGTTTACCAGAGGGTAAACATGCCAATGGACTTCTTTAACAGGAGACTCATCTTATAATGTCAACCCCGGATTAATAAACCATGGTTTATGAATTAGGGGGTATTCCCCCAGTCATGATTTGATACTTTTTTATGGTACCCTCCCAATTTTCAACAGCCGTAAACGGGGTTTATTAATCCAGGGTTGACATTACTACCAGAAGGTTCTCAATGTTCCTTCCGATGACCCGACCTGAAACTGTCCTCAAGTGTTGATCGACCTCTAAGCCCGAGCTGCACATTCGAATCAACCTATCACTGTCATCGAGGAAAATCCCCGGGAAACGTGGAAAAGTGTTATTGTAGATCTGAAGAAATCAAAGAGACAACAACAAATACAACATCCCAGTTCACCAGTTCATTCTTCTTGTAGAAACCAGTCATATCATCCTTTTCCTTTGGGTCATCGGCCTCTTCACCCCCCCTTTTTCCAGCTGGCCGTCCAACTGCTGTTGTTTCTCCGACCCCCAGCAATCATTCGTCCCAGCCACAGCATTTCCTAGAACTGGTGAATGGTATTTTGACAATAATTCTTTATTTTCACTTGTAAACACAAGGGTTTCCTGTAAACTGTCCTTAAGCCAACCAAATGATTTTGTGATATATCCGGTTCTGGAAGGGTTGCGCCAACACGGAAGTGACTTCAAGTCCCCAAGTGTCTTCATGTTCATCGAATGTCCCAAGGCTCCTCTGTACTTGCTGCTCACTTGTACTCGTCTCAACTGCTTGTAGATCTTTCTATCTCATGATATCTGCATGTTTCTTGATGGTGGATTCCTGCCCTTTCAATTCGACCCGTTTCTTCATGGTTCTACACCTCCCCAACCAAAAAACACACCATCCCTCATTGCCAATCTCGGAGAATTACCCTGCAATGAAAAGAACATTGAGGTAGTAGATGTCTGTATATGTACCTACATAATCCCATATGTATATATATATATATATATATATACACATTCTATATATACATATATACATTCTATATATATATATACATTCTATCTATCTATATATATATATACATTCTATATCTATATATATGTATGTATGTATGTATGTATGTATGTATGTATGTATGTATGTATGTATGTATGTATGTATGTATGTATATCTACCCAAATAAAATCCCATGATGTAAGTGATGTTACCACATAATTCCTACGCTTCACCAGGCCCCCTGAGATCCCGTGCCTGGATCCCCAGCTCGCTCTCAACGGATAAGATGAAGGACGGCTGTCGCTCCAGGGGGATATGCCTTGCCATGGCCGTGGGACTTTGGGTAGCCAAATTGGGGGGTTCCTTAACTAAGTGTGACCATATCATATATGTACATATATATATTATATTATGTGCATATATATATATGCATATGTGCATGTGCATATATTTGTGTATGCATCAATATTATATATATATATGTCATATGTCCATTACATAATTGTATATGTATGATTATTCATGTGCCAAAGAATTCGGATTACACAAAGGATGCTAGCTACTCATTCCCAGTTACCATACTTGTAGGGGTCTGAAGGATCTTGATCGGTCTTCAAATACATTGGCTGGTTTAGGATGGCAGCCTCCAAGTCAAACATATCACAATTGGATGATATTGAAGCCATATGGCAAATAATTGTTCATATCATGTGAAGCCATTGAAGCCATATATCATTGATATTAAATGGTGATTGGAGGGTCGCTTCCAACTACAGCAGGGTTTTTTCACCCCAACCCTCGGCCCAACAGAAGTCGAGATTTCACAGCCAACAGATTGAACAAAAAGTAACTAAACATCATTGATTTAGGCAAAAATTATCCAATATATATATATATACGTAGTCCAATCCAATATATATAGTCCAATCCAATATATCAATACATATTTCATCATATTTCTTACTACGGATCGGCTACGCATCGGCTTCCCCTCAGACCACAGCCAGCGGGTTTTGGATAAAGGCTTGCATGAGGCGAAGCCAAGGAACTCCTCGGAGAGGTTGAAGAACTTCATCAGAGCTTGAAACACGGAGTTCCTGGAAAAATGGGGAACGTTCAACCATTTCTTTGATGGTTGATGGTCGATGGTCGATGGTTGATGGTTGATGGTTGATGGTTGATGGTTGATGATGATGATGATGATGATGATGAGGAGGAGGAGGAGGAGTCTTTCTGTTGTTACTATCATCATTCTTATGACCAACAATGTCCTAGTGGGAAAATTGTTGCGGGGCTAGTCTGATATATCATTTATCATCACTTAGGACTAAGCGGATCTCATGGGGATATCACGGGGATATCAAGGACAGCAGGTCATGTTCCGAATCCACCAAAAGTTCCCCATCAATACCTATCCCAATGCTCCCTTGAGCTCATTGTGCTGATAGGAGTACATGCATCTCCTGTCTGAAACGTTGACGAAGATACACCATGATCTTGTGAAAATTGAATCTGTCTTAAAATGGGGAATACCTCAAAATGGAAATTTGGGATGGATAAATTATGATGAACCATCAAACTTCCATAGACAAACCCATGTGTACATCTAGGCAGGAGATACACCAAACCAGAATTTAACCAAACTGCAAGTTGATAGACAGTCAAGATTACCCAAGCATATTGAGTGGTATTGTCCAAAACTGGTGAATTTTACCAACATACAGTCCTGCTTTTGATAAGGAAAATGATAAAGCATCAGATTCAGGGGTACAGTATATACCACCATTTTGGACAAACACCCTGGTGCATCCAAATATGGCGCCAAGTGACACAATGGCACTGCTCCCTGCCAGACCTTGAGTTGCTCAAGCTGGGGCTCAAGTAGCGCGATTGGTTGGGATTGGTTGGTAGCCATTTCCAGAGGTATATCATGCACGGCAACACTAGTATTTGTACAACATCCATATTTAACATATAACGTATACCATATACATTCACATTGTGTCAGTCCAAGAGTATATCATGCATACAAACCAAAAAAATAGAGATTCCGTACAGTCTTGGGTCTATATACACTTCTATCAATGGATATGACCATCCACTAATATCCAGTTTTAACCATCGCACATATCCCTTGGAAGAAATGGCGAGCTGGGTCAAGCTTTGGAGTATCTTGCTGACCCGTGCCCTTTCTGAAAGACTTGGAAGATAAGGTCAACCAATTGGAGCTTCACAAAAACCTACAGCTTGCTGGTTTCAACCTGAAAACATAAGCCGTCTAGGATCATCCCAAACATAAAAACAAGCAAATACCCTCTGGTAAACTAGCAGTTTGCCATGGAAAATCGTAGCTACGCTTGTTTACTGGAGGCTTTTTAGATCTACGGATCTACAGTCGTCAACTGTCCATTCAAAATTTCCCACACACGAAATATCCCATGAATAACCCACGAATATCTCATTAAATCACATTAAATCAGCATTAAATCCCATAAAATCATCAAAAATCATCATGAAATCACCATGAAACACCATTAAATCCCATTTAATCAACATGAAATTCTACTCAATCCCACTAAATCACCACTAAATCTGGTATGTCTGTGAAGCCACCGATCGCCACCACTGCCTGATCGGAAAAACGACGGACCTAGGCTGCCAACCGACTTGTCGGGGAATGTTCCTCAGCAAATCGAGAGAATTTTCGCGGTGGGGATGAGAATTTGCGAGAGCAAAGATCTAAAAAAGCAATCACGAAATGAAATTTTCACCTGTCAGTTGCATTCGAAATGTTTTTGCCGGACTCGAAGTCTTATAAGTCTTTTTGTTCAAATAGTATCATCTGAAGTCTGATCGGAAGTCATTGATCAGCACCCCGTCTTGTGCCATCTGACTTTCAAAAGTGCCAAGTGTCGTGTCATAGCGCAGGGTAAAGTTTTTGCTGGGCAGTGCTATCCCTCTGCTGGTGCACAACTCCTGGTTCATAGCTGTTGATGTTGAAAATACGATTGAATGACTGTGATTTCCTATATTGAAATATATTGGAATGTGTCATTGAACATATTTAGACAACCTGAAGCCTCCCAAAATTCAAAATATGTTGTACTACTTGAATTTTGACCAAGTTTTCCTGGACACCGGTCAGTTTTCCTCAAAACCTTTTTAATTGGAGAGATCTGCCAAAAGTTCAAGTCTTGTTGATGTTGAATCCCAACTCTGGCCAGTCATGGCATGAGGCTTCGTTGAGAACGGGCGACCCCATGGCATCATGGTTGACCACCACTTTACCCTCTGGTAATTTAACATAGCTATTGAAAATGGTGATTTATAGTGGATTTTCCCATTAAACATGGTGATTTTCCATAGTTATGTTAGTTTACCAGAGGGTAATCCGTGTGTGATGATGGTGTTCATCATGAAGTGTAGCACTTCCTTGCATCAGAGCAAGAAACTTAGTAACTAGTGCTTTCTTTCATATGGGATGTGACGAAAGACTTCAACTGTCTTGCTGAAGTCAGTCCACCCCGAAAACTGTAGAAGGAATATGACTGACTAAGTCTGCATCATTTTGTTTATACATTATATTACATTATTATATATTATTATTTACATCACAAAAAACATGCGAGCTGAACACATGTGAGTAAGTTCCAAACTCTTGGAGACTCAAAAGGTCCAAATACATCCAAATACTGGAATTTCTGATGGCTGGGAAAGATTTTGCCCACAGGGATTGATACATATCATCCCTTTGCTCCAAGTCAGGAAAAGAAAACTCCAACGGTCTCGCAGAAACAACGAGATTTGAGAGACTTCAAACAGAGGAAAATGCCATGAAACTACACTCATACACGGTGGTGCCCCAGTTTTGCGAGCTAACTTGCTTCATTGCTTGGTTTACTGGAGCTAACTTGCTTCATTGGTCTGGTTCTCGCTGGGTTTATGGTGATAAAATAACCATAGTCAGGTGGCCGGTGACTACTAAACCAACATAACTTGGGGGCACCACCTTCTACTTGGGACATCCCAAAAGTGTTTTTTTCTGGTGGCTTTCAGTCCAGATCACCCAACATCGTTGCATTGCCGTGCAGTATTTAAGCCGCCATGTTTTAGGCTTCCCAAAATTGATCTGTTCCCATTGCTTGCTGATGACATGACAGTAATAGTACTGTACTTGACATCTAAATACATCATGTACTAATATGTATAGTATATACGCATATTCACGATTCAATATAGAACCCTATAGCCTATACATACACTCATAAAGACATATATGCATCTATAGATAAATATCATCATCCATATACAACAGTCATCAATAATACAGTTTACATCCAAGCAGCTAAATAGACTTGCCCTCTGGCAATTTGACAGTTTGCCATTGAAAATGGGCCATTTAGTTGGTTGATTTACCTATGACAAATAGTGATTTTCCAGTTCGCAAGCTGTAAACGTTTACCATTTTCCACAAATTTGCATAGTTAAATTTCCCAGTTTCATCCATTTTCTCATTATATATCCATATATATATATTTCCCCAATGATATCCCCAAACATGTCCGACTCAATGTTTTGGGATTCCAAAACGGTCAACAGCAGCATCTCCTGGAAGCGCTTGCAGGTCGCCATCAACAAGCGCGTGCCACCATAGTAGCCCTCGCAAGCGCCGAGGGAGGACATGGCTGTTGGGGTTCGACTGGTGGGACGTGGGAATACCATTGACATATCATTCTGTATGGGACTTAACATATGGGACCTGTATAGAATATTTGGATGTTATGTTGTTATAATAACTCTTGAATCTGATTGAAAACCAAACATATTGATAATGCATGATAATACATGTTTGATGCCAATGCAGTATTACTCACTGTAGTGCCAATGTGGTGTACCACATTATGTGAGTGAGATTTCTTGTGGGACTCACTATTTGTTGAAACAAGTTGAAACTATTCTTGCATATTAGTACTATGATCGAATAAAACTGAATATCATTTCACAAATACAACTTGAATTAAAGGCAATGGCAATTACTAGTATATGGTAAACCCAACAATAAATGGAATGATTACTATAGAATCCAATTGAAATCACTGAATGTGACAATCCAAATTGCAAAGAAATTGATGACACGCAATAGTTGGCAAAGGGGACAACTAGTTTGATTGGTTCATTCCTATGGCAAGATTACCCTCTGGTAAACTAACATAGCTATTGAAAATTGCCATTTATAGTGGATTTTCCCATTAAACATTGTGATTTTCCATAGCTATGTTAAATTACCAGAGGGTAAATTTGTGTGAACCCACAACCATGGAACATCCCTGCTGTATAAAACATACCTCTCACCGGGATCATCCGCATGGAGGGCAACCACCAGCGTGCGATCCCCGTGGCGATCATGGAGCACAACAAGCATGGTGCGATTCGGTGCTTTCGTAGCCCCAAGATCCCCACATGTCTAAGAATCCAAGGATTTCGGCTCCAATGCAACCAAGGATCTCGGCCCTTTTTGCAACCAAAATCTGAATGTCTCAGTAGAACGTCAATGTTTGATGATGAACATCTTGAAACATATTGAAACACGTCAAATGTGTCAAAGATGTTCAAAACATGGTACCTAATGACATGGGAATGGATCAAAACCAAACAAAATAAATATTGGAAGGAATAAACATCCATAAATCCCAGCTATTTTTGTGCTTACCAGGGTGTCTTGAGCCATATCCATGCATCATATGGCTCTGGTTACGACATTTCAAGACCCCCTAAAAACATCAACTAGTCCATGATCCATTGTTGATTCCTCGTGAAACCACTAGGGGGATAAATATTAAATAAGGTATGGGTCATGTTCTGACATTGATTAAGTAACCATCGTCTACATCACATCACCATGAAGTTTATCCATCATCTCCCCAGTATACCCCCATGAATTTGGCCAAAAAAACGCATGTTCATGGGGATTTGCCATGAATATCCCCCTTCAAGTTCACCTAATATTTCTCAATGGAAATCTCCCATCCATTTTCCCATCCATATGTCCCATGTGGGGATGGGTCAAAACCCTGGTACCTTTTGTTCACCCCAAGTCATAGCTGGGTTAAAATGGATGTTCATCCCACTATAGTAATGGTATCTACAGGTATTGACCCATACCCATGTCTCCCCAACAAAAAACCCAAAAAAATCCGCCATCTCATCTCACCTCCCGGCGGCCGATGAAATGCAGATCCGCAAGGCCCGAAAAGGTCGAGGGGTCGAACAAGGGATGCGGCAGCAGCCTACCGCAGCTAGTGAAGCGATACGAAAAAAACCAGAGGACTGTAGTAGAACCAATCACTATAACTGTGAAATATGTGGCAGATTTTAAGCAGATCTGGAAATAGAACTTGATTTTTCGTGAGGTGATATGAAATCCCATAAACTCACCATAAGATCCCATTAAAATCCCATCAAATCACCATAATTTTGGACCTCACCTGCCAAAATTTTGGGGACTTCCATTGCCCCAAGCCGCCTCAGTTGCGCCGACTCCCAGAGTTCCGCGGAGGCCCAGAAGTTGCGAATCGTCACCGAGAGCGTCTGGGGCGGCGGGTTTCGACGGCAGGGTTGGCCTGGTCTTTACTTCTCTATGTCTGCTGGAATGGTGGTTTTAAGATTTGAGAAACAAGAAGAGCCATGGTAAAATGGGGCGGATCGGAAGTCCGCCCAATGTTGACCGCTTTTTCATTGAAAGATGAGGAAGACTGAAGTGGGAAAAATGGATAGATCGAGTCTAGTCCGTGGAGGATTTGGGGACTTTTTTCATCTCCCATAGGATCCATGTATGCTATATATGGTAACATTTACCATCAATATACCCCCAATGTTAGCATATATACCATACATGGATCCTATGGGTCTGGAATCGGCAATAAACCATTCAATTTCTGGTTAATCACTGTACACATCCGTGGTAAGATTTACCCTCCAGGGTGACCGGGGCGCCCGGGTGATATTTGAATCACCGAGAGTTTGTTTATCAATACTACCATCTGGTTATGACTAACATAGCCATGGACAATCACCATTTTTTATAGGTAAACCATCTATAAATGGGCCATTTTCCATGGCTATGTTAAATAACCAGATGGTAAAATCTATCTCATAGCAACCTCCAAAAGATATGGAAAAGTAAAATCATACTGAAACAGTGGCAACTTGCTTCTCGATCTTTTTGGGTGGTTACGAGAATTATGACAATGTATAGCCAATGGTAACAATTTTTGGCACTGGTACTGTCATCATTTAAATTTAGATGTCTATAGAACATATTCCAGTGATATTCGTTGATATTCCATCGATAGCCCACTGGCTGGTGGTTTTGAACCATCTTGAAAAATATGAAAGTCAATGGGAAGGATGATCCCATATATTATGGAAAATAAAAAATGTTTGAAACCACCAACCAGGCCATAATACCCAGCTAAGGATAACATCTTGAACGGTTTCTAAAAAAGATTCACAGGAATCCCCTATTGTTTGGTGAATGGTTTGTCAGGGTGTCATGAAAACTGCCATGGATTCCATGGATTCTGCCATTGGTTGTTGGATATAAATCTGAAGGTCATCAACACGATCCCATATCACTAATCCTAAGGAATACGACATCTCACTGACATTGGATCCATTTGGATCCATATTCCTTCACAAGGAATGTACCCGGCCTGGTAATTTAACAGTTTGCTATTGAAAATGGTGATTTATAGTTGATTTACCCATTGAAAATGGTGGATCTTTCCATAGTTATGTAAACGTTTACCAGAGGGTAACAATGTAACATTCCAATTCATACTAATCAGTACCATGAACATTCATTAACTGGGTACTCAACATGAGTGATACGTCCATTTTTTATCCGATGAACGATGAATACGCAATAATATCAATATTAATATCATGACTAATGTATATTAGCATTTCTATTAGTATTACTATTGTGTAACTAATTGGTATTTCAATACCACTATCAACCAAATATCAATTTCCTTAATACCAATAGTCAATATTAATCGACGAATGCCAGGTCAAATGCCCAGCACCCATTTCTAAAAGTCATAGCTGCTGTTTCTGGATGTTCCCCCAAATGTGGTAGTATATAATAGGTAACTTGACCCATCCCCATGTTACTACTGTGGTAATAACAATATATATAATATGTTAATTCCATATTTCTACTATCGATTATAATATGTCTTGTTATTAGATGATACTATGATTCATAGTAGTAATATATATATATATATGTGTAATGTTCATAAATTATAGTGACCCATTAAAACAACATAAAAGAAGCAATATCTATCCCATTAAAATACTTTCGTGGCAATATTTCGAAGCAATAAGAACACCAACCCCTCCCGGCCTTGCCATGGAACCCATCACTGGGATTGCCCATGAGCCCCACGCGCGCGTACCTGGATTTTCTGCCGAGGCCCAGCGATCATCGGCGCTAAGGAGTGCGCCCTTTTTGAGAACGGTGGGAACCAGTGGGAAAATCGTGGTTTTTCATGGGGATTTCATGCGGATTTAATGGGATTTAATGGGATTTAATATCAACAATACGACTTTAAAAAATGTTAACCAAAGAAATGGTGGTTTAGTCAGCAAAGATTTGGGTTTGGCCAGGGTCTTACGAGCAACTTATGGTGCATTATGAAGGGTATGGACCCTTTGGGGTACCACGAAAAATGGGTGCTTCACATTAATATACATTAATTACATCCAAAAATTGTCCAGTGATTCCGGGTCATCCTGCATTTTCCATATTTTTCACCTGCACTAAACTCACCATTCGATACATCAAATCAATGGGAATTCCAGGATCCTAAAATGGAGGTACGTTAGTACCATATTGTTGGCCATATTTTGTGGGGATATTCCCTGAAAAATAGGCCTGAAAAATAGGCCAAAAATATATGGAATCGGTACCTCCGATCAATCGGTTCCTGAGTCATGGCCATTGATTTGATCATGAGGTGATTATCACATATTGTCCCACTATATGATCTATCAAATGGCTTGATAATGATAGATGATATAGATATAAACATATATATATCCATAGATAATGACATAGAAAATGGCATATTGTCCCACTATGATCTATTATCATCTCCCAGTTGTTACTTGGTAAATGGATTTAAATGGTCTATGATCCATAAATATCCATAGTTTAACCCCTAGTAAACTCACCATTCGATACATCAAATAAGAACAGGAAACCTGCCACATAAATCCCATGAGTGCGAGCCACGTCTTGGTGCGGAAGCGGCCACTAGTACCGTCCTGCACGGCAGTGGAGGGGTGGAGGGTGACGGTGGCCATGGGAACTCCACTAGAAATGCAGCTTTGAATGGAGATTTCCCAGCAACAAATGGTGGATTTCCCAGCATTGAAGTCCAGGAGGGTAAGTATATTATTATATGTGTAAGTATAACAAGTATAGATGAATATAGATGCATCTAATGAATCATAATGACATATCTATTGTGGAGAGGGAGGACATCTGGATTCCTTCAGATTAAATGTACTTTTATGTCATTATGCTGCTTCAGCCTTCTGGTGATAGGTCGCCATAGTTGAACAACAACTCCAATTTTACTGCTTATCCCAAGATTCGCTTATCCCATTCTAGCTTTGCCATATACTTGAACAACAAAAGATCCATATAATTCTCTTGTTTTTGTGTAATACCTGTTTAAAAAAACATGTATATACACAGTGAATCCCCATTTATCCCTCCCAAGATTCGCCACTCGTTTATACCCCCAACTGTTGAACGGTCCAAGCTGTTCACGGAGGAGAAGGTTCGATCCAACTGACCTGGGAGGTTTTTTGGTGGGGATACGAGGTCGCTTGCTACTCCCACGGATCCTAAGTTATACCCTCTGGTTATGTCAAAATAGCTATTGAAAATTGCCATAGAAATAGTGGATTTTCCCATGAATAGCATGGTGGATCTTTCCAGTTGGCTATGTTAGTCATTACCAGAGGGTATCCCTGGTGTGGGATAGGCTCAATCCACTGACAATTAGCTGGGTGTTTTTTTTGGTGACCGATCTGTGGGATCTGTGCAGATTTTTTTGGATTGATTCAAGGGGAAATTCGACAGGAAGCCCCGCTTCTTTGCCGTCAAAATATAGGGAAGTCCTGCAAATGTTTCTTTCAACATCATTCAAGGGTTTTGAAGGATGGGGATAAAGCCAACCAATTTTGCAAAAAAGCCTACGTTCTGGAGAAGGAATATATCACGGACTAGGCGGGAAAATCAACGGGCTAAACCCTTCTATTTTGGGCTATAAACCCATGGTTTTCCTGATGTTCACTGTAAACTTTCCCTCATCCAGTGGATACAGCAACCATTGACAGATGTCGATCCGATCCATCCGATCCAAGCCAACGGGGTGATGACATGGCACAAAAATCGTGATTCACTTGGGATAGATCTATGAATCTGATGAATAGTTGGATGGATAATATGTATTATGTATGTTGGATAGTGCTGATATTATATAATTATCTATATTATGGATATTATATTACTATGATTATTATGTATTATTATATAATTCATTGATGATGATTGATCTGGGTAAATTATAATATTTCACTAACCTGAATAGTCCGGCCATTTGGGGATGATTCCCCTATAAAAACCATGATTTCCAGTGAGGGAGAACAGTGAGGTCGTTATAATTTACCCAGTATTATGTATGTTGGATAGTGACAATTATATAATTATATTATATGTTGTATAATCTGTATATCAAAGCCGATATTATGTATCATATTTTGATATTCACATTTGGGCTGTGATCCATAGCAATGTCAAGATCTTTTTTTAGAATGTGGATAGAAGCAACAAATATACAATTCTAAGATGATATATCGGATATGATATTATTGCATTCAGGCATTCTGGGATGTTTGGACAGTGGAAAATCACCATGCCTGATAATTTGCAATGTCATTCCAAAGCCTGTTTCAAGGCCATCTTCAGCCTTGAGGAGTGTCAAATTACCCTCTGGTAATTTAACATAGCTATTGAAAATGACTATTTATAGTGGATTTACCCATTGAAAATGGTGGATCTTTCCAGTTCGTTATGTAAACGTTTACCAGAGGGTAGAACGGCTTAGACATCTGCCGACAAATCACCAAGACCCAAACTTCTCCCGAAGGAGACCTCCCCAAAGAATCAGCTTTCAAGTCCTAAATCTACCAGCATGATGGATGGGACATGATTCATCAAAGACCGAAAACCATGAAGTCAGCATTGATCAAACCTCAGCCAAATTTAGAGATACTACCTTAGATACCCCTCCAGTAAAATATATGACTTAGATATATTTGGAGATACTATCTGTTATAACTTAGATATACTTAGATATTAAAACGCCCGCATCTGTCGATCATTTTCCCAACTGGAAACCTTCCTGACTTTCCATGGCTTCAGCGTCCAAGATACGGTACTCTTCGAGGCCCGTTGAAGCACCAATGAGATGAAACGCACCCGGCATCCGCATACCTCAAAAAGGCGGATGGAGATGGAACATGGTCCTTTTAAATGGTGGATAAATGTGATTTTTGTGGATATATCTATGATATATCTAGGATTGTCTATGTATATTCTCTGGGAAATGTGGGGGCTGCAAGTGGCTGCAAGCCACCAAAATGACAAATTCCATCTAGGTCTAGTTCTCTTGCAAAATGATGCTAGCTCCAATCACTCATTAGTCTGCCGATCCTATATGTTCAGCTGTTCCGCATGGTTTTTTGGGAAATCCCCCATCTTACCATAAAAAAAGAAATTGGTTGAAACCTAGAGATAGTTTTTCCATGTTTTTCCTGGGGGTTATAGAATTTCATAGGGGATAGATTCAACATATTACCCTCTGGTAATTTAACAGTTTGCTATTGAAAATACCCCATTTAGATCGCTGCTTTACCTCTTCAAAATGGTGATAGAATCTATGGCTATGCAAACCTTTCTTAGAGGGTTAAGCACCATGAAAATCCCCATTGAATCCCATTAAATCACCATTAAATCATATTAAATCACCATTAAAAGACCATACATCCCCCTAAATCGCCATTGAAACCATCAGTCAACATATCAAACTACCTCAAAATCTTCGGCCCCAGAAGAATCGCCGACTCGGGGCCCCGCACCCCAGAAGGGGAGCTTCAGCTCTTCGATCGCCTCGAGCCCGCGCGAAGCGCGCGAGTCATTGGGATCTACTGGATCTACTGGATCTACCATCTATGGATCCAGTATATTATAGATGGATATATATATATTATAGGATATGTCCATCTAATGATCTATCAGGATATATGTTATATTAGATATTATTAATTGGATATATATGGATCTAACATATAGGATATTACTGATCTACCCTCTGGTAAACAAACAGCTTGCTATTGAAAATTGCCATATGACGAAGTTTATTGATTTACCCAGCTATAAAATGGTGGATCTTTCCAGTTCGTTATGTAAACGTTTACCAGGCCGGGCAATTTATCCATATCCATGGATCAGAAAAATATCCAACCATGTACCATCTATGGTTCAAAGGGGATTTACCGATCTATGGGATATTTTTTCGGATAACTCATGGGGGAACTCAGAGGAATTTAAACACCCAAGACAGTTGGGAGCTCGAAGCAACCCAAGACTATGGGAACTTGACAGGTAACCTATGGTTATGACTAACATAGCCATGGTATAGATGGCCCATCTATAGATGGTTTACCTATTAAAAATGGTGATTTTCCATGGCTACGTTAAATAGCCAGAGGGTAAATCAAAACAGTTGTTTTTGTTTTTAGCCTTGGGCAAGGTTGGCTGAGAAAATGTCGACCCAGGATTAGTAAACACCCAGTCTATTAAACATGGGGGTGCCATAGTTAATGATTGGAATAATCACGAAAGATCATTATTTTAAGTTTATGGGAACCCCCTATCATAGAAAGCAGTGGCTTTACGACTGCTGGGTTGACATTCTCCACCTGGTCAACCATAGTTGGCCACAGTATAAAGCAACATACCTCTCCAGAGACCCCACATTGAAACAATCAAAACTCATGGGTGGTTGAGCTACCTGATGAATACTGGTCACTGGACGTCTTCTTCCTCCAAAATAGAGAGGAAACTACGTCCTGGAAACTACGTCCTGGAAACCACCGCGGCAACCCAAAAAAAACATGTGGAATGGTGGCCCACATCCAACGACAAGGCCCCTATCTTGGCGCCGTAACAAGTGCACTCACAGTCAGGTGGTAGCTTCTGGAATGTCTGGATTCCCATTGTATCTATTTTGCTTTGCGATTGGTGCGTTCGAACTGGTGACAGGCGCCTGTCAAGTGGATCTGTACCTCTTCTGTTGAGTCACTGTTGAGCATCTTGAATGGTAACAATTGGCATGCTGTGAGTGCTTGGAGATTGATAGAGGAAAACATGTTGGGGGGCTGGCAGAAAAAAAGGCACTTCTATTTGATGTTTTGGGTGGCTCACTCAGCACAAATTCAAACATGTAGTAGCCATACTCTCTGGTTTTCAGTTTTGTCTGCTGGTAAGCGAAGGGAATGATCCCAAAAACATCGCACTTGATCTTTGCTACCCAAACTCTGATGAGTTTTAAATCCAGAATTGATCAGAAGCAACTGATCGGAAATACAAAACCACAGCGTATGCTCGAAAGATGTTCTGGCCAAACCCAGCTGCATAAATGGCGGATTTCGATCAAGTTTAGCCCATTTCAGATGTCCCTGTGTTTGGGCAAACCAAAAGCAGAACCATCGCAAGCTCCTTATCTATGGAGGGGACATTCCTTATAGGGACACTCCTATCGAACATTCCTTTTCATTAATTTTAGTTCCAAGTTCATTCCTAGTAATTTCATGTAATTCCATTTTTTGGAATTCAAAAAAACATTAATACGTTTTGGATCATCTTCAAGACTTGCTTAAAGATTTTTGGATGTTTTTTGAGATTGGTTTTTGATGTTTCTTTTTTTGGAGTTTCTTAGATTTGTTTGGCTGTTTTTTTGTGTGTTTGGAGTGGATTTTTTGGATTTTAGTGTGGAACTTTTATGTTTGTCATGATTTTGACTTTCTTTAGAATGTTTGGACATAGTGGATTTGTTCTTTATATGTTTTTTGAATGATTGAATTTTTGTCTGTCTTGCTGGATTGTGTTTTAAAAGCCATTTTTTGATTTGATTGAGATGTTCTTGGAAATGTGTGGATGTGTGTTTGATTTGTTTGTTTCTTTTGAGATTTGTTTGAACAGATAGCAACTTTTAGGAGTAGCCCTGTTAGGAGTAGCGCAGGGCTCCTTAATCATCTGTATTAAATCCCACAAACAGCCTATGACGTGTTACTGTTAATGGTCTGCAAACAGAAAGAGCAATGCTGACTGTGACGCACTTTTCGGCAAAAGGAAACCTGTAACTCACAGCATGGCAACCAATATAGAAGCGGTAGAAAAGCTTTGAAGACCGCTTGGCAAGCTTACTCCTTCCAGGGTCTGGTTGAATCTAGAGCCCAATGTCAAGCTCCGCAGATTGCTTGGCAAACTCATTCCTTGCAGAGTCTGGTTGAATGAACCTCCAACTGTCAGGCTCTGAAGACTGCTGGGCAAAGCCACTCCGTCCAGGGGCTGGTCGAATGAATATCCAAATGTCAAGCTCTGAAGACTGCTGGGCAAAGCCACTCCGTCCAGGGGCTGGTCGAATGAATGTCCAAATGTCAAGCTCTGAAGACTGCTGGGCAAAGCCACTCCGTCCAGGGGCTGGTCGAATGAATATCCAAATGTCAAGCTCTGAAGACTGCTTGGCAAGCACAAGCCTTGCAGAGTCTGGTTGAATGAACCTCCAAATGTCAGGCTCTGAAGACTGCTGGGCAAAGCCACTCCGTCCAGGGGCTGGTCGAATGAATATCCAAATGTCAAGCTCTGAAGACTGCTTGGCAAGCACACTCCTTGCAGAGTCTGGATGAATGTATCTCCAAATGTCAAGCTCTGAAGACTGCTCGGCAAAGCCACTCCTTCCAGGCGCTGGTTAAATGAACCTCCAAATGTCAAACTCTGAAGACTGCTGGGCAAGCTTACTCCTTCCAGGGTCTGGTTGAATGTAAAGGCCAATGTCAAGCTCCGCAGATTGCTTGGCAAGCACAAGCCTTGCAGAGTCTGGTTGAAGGAACCTCCAAATGTCAGGCTCTGAAGACTGCTTGGCAAGCTCACTCCTTGCAGGGTCTGGTTGAATGAACCTGCAAATGTCAGGCTCTGAAGACTGCTTGGCAAGCACAAGCCTTGCAGGGTCTGGTTGAATGAACCTCCAAATGTCAGGCTCTGAAGACTGCTTGGCAAGCTCACTCCTTGCAGAGTCTGGTTCAATGAACCTGCAAATGTCATGCTCTGAAGACTGCTTGGCAAGCACAAGCCTTGCAGAGTCTGGCTGAATGAACCTCCAAATGTCAGGCTCTGAAGACTGCTGGGCAAAGCCACTCCGTCCAGGGGCTGGTCGAATGAATATCCAAATGTCAAGCTCTGAAGACTGCTGGGCAAAGCCACTCCGTCCAGGCGCTGGTCGAATGAATATCCAAATGTCAAGCTCTGAAGACTGCTGGGCAAAGCCACTCCGTCCAGGGGCTGGTCGAATGAATATCCAAATGTCAAGCTCTGAAGACTGCTTGGCAAGCACAAGCCTTGCAGAGTCTGGTTGAATGAACCTCCAAATGTCAGGCTCTGAAGACTGCTGGGCAAAGCCACTCCGTCCAGGGGCTGGTCGAATGAATATCCAAATGTCAAGCTCTGAAGACTGCTGGGCAAAGCCACTTCGTCCAGGGGCTGGTGGAATGAATATCCAAATGTCAAGCTCTGAAGACTGCTGGGCAAAGCCACTCCGTCCAGGGGCTGGTCGAATGAAATTCCAAATGTCAGGCTCTGAAGACTGCTAGGAAGATGCTGCAAATACATTCCGGAGTTGTTAACTTCCATCCTCGTCACTCCTTCCAGTGCGAGCTCTCCCTCAGAAACTGGGAGTCCGCGGATATAGCGCCAGGTTGCACACAAATCAGTAGGAACAAATGTGCAGGAGAGCGTTGCATTCACACCTACAATACCTTGGTCTTGCAACGTCTGGCGGAGCAGCAGTGGTGCATCCTTGTGATGCAGTCTGACTTTACTTCCCTTCTTTGAAGGAAGTCGCTGCAAAACCATCTGCTGCAGTTCATGACCTAGAATGGATCCACTCACCATGAATTGGCATCCTTCACCATTGAGGCAAAGCACCTGAATGTGAGTTCTTTCACAGCCACTGGCGCCAGCCGCCACATAGCCAGCCGCACTGCTCGACATCGTCAGGTGACAGCGTCCAACGCTGTGAGAGCTGGGTGTATGAATGCTACCCCAGCCTAGAAGTCTTCTTGCTCGATAGACCCATCAATTGTACTAAACCTCGAACATTAAACAAAACAGAACAGTTGATTTACAATATTTTATATTCATCATGTTTGATTTTATCATTTATCAATATTTATCATGTGTTATCGTGATTTATTGGCCGTCATTGGCTGTGAAGTTACATCTTTTCATCTGCATCATGGTGGACTCTGAGGGACGCTGGGTTTCTGCAGTTAGAACATATTAAAACCATTTGTTGCATACGGTCATACAATTTCTTTACATTGAACATGGCTTCAGACATGCTTTAGATTTTGAATTTTGGTTTCAAATTCTCTCTGTCTAGACCTCTAGGCTATGATAGGCTACAGACATGCTGAATATCGACCATGGTCAAGTTAAAATCTTCCCTAAAACAAGTTTGGCCTCCATCTGCTGCTCCACCCCATCACTCTACCAATATCTAGCAATCAAAATCCTTGAAAAGAGAACCGCACCTTGAGTTGAGAAATTCCTGTTCGTCTGTTCGTTGGAAGAAGGGATACCTACGGAATGTTCAAAATGGAGGGTTGCCTATTGCCCCTTTCAATACCCTCTGGTAAACTAACATAACTATGGAAAATCACCATTTTCAATGCGAAATCAACTATTTCAGCGGCCATGTTCAATAGCTATGTTAAATTACCAGAGGGTAAGACAACCAAAGGATGGGACATCAGTACATCAGGACATCCAGCAGCCATGTACGATTACCAATCCCCAAAATATGCCCATAACATGTTCCATGGCATGTACAATGATATCCATATAGTTTTATACAAGATCCCGATTTCAGTTTGCTCTGGATCGTCGAAAAGTGCGGTTGTGCTTTGTTCTGTCTGGTTGGTTTGCTTACATTCATCCACAGATTTGTTTTCGAGCTATAATCATGTATAGCTATATTCTACACAGATTAATAGGTATACTCGAAAATATATCAATGTATGTCTAGATAAATTAATAGTTATATATATATATATATATATACAGCTATATATATATAGCCATATATATACATAGCATATATATATATTGTAACAATATATTGTAATCTATTCTAATGTATTTCATATTTTTCCCATATTCACCATATCATGTTGTTCTTTGCACCATCCATCCCTGGGATCCCTGGGATCCCTGGGATCCCTGGGGCCACCGACGTGTTGCACGAAGCGCCCGAAGCTGAAGGAACTCCCCGGCGCGCTCGTTGCGGCGCTCGTTGTCCCGTTGGCGCTGCGGCAGGCCGCGGCGTTGAACTCCGGGATCTTCCTCTGCGAAAGTGGGGGCGGACAATGGATCTTGATGGGTTTTTTTAAAAATTTAGGGGTTAAACTATGGATATTTATGGATATTTATGGATATCTATGGATATCTATGGATATTTATGGATATTTATGGATCATAGACCATTTACTAAGTAACAAAGATTCCCTTCATCGATTCCGCAATGGTGGATTTAAACCATTGGGACAGAAAAATTGATTCGCCATAGTGGACTTTCCAGGAAGATTACCCTCTGGTAAACGTTTATATAACGAACTGGAAAGATCCACCATTTTCTAGCTGGGTAAATCCACTATTTCGACTGGGCCATTTTCAATAGCTATGTTAGTTTATCAGAGGGTAATGGGCCTCTATAAAGGGAAAATGGATGATCATGTTGATTTAATTGATGTAATGGTGATTTAAAAGTGATTGAATGGGTCTTAACAATGGGGAAATGCTTGATAATTTTGGTGATTTGATGGTCATAATTGAGAATTATGGGGATTTACTGGGTTTTCATGGGATCTAATGGGAAAGTATTGATATTAATCGTCTATTCTCTCAGAAATCTATGGAGAATCTACGGAAAATCATGGGATACTGGTGATTTCATGGTGATTTCATGGGAACATTGGCCGTCTTTGTGCCATGTTTTTTTTTTGATCCCCTGCTTATTGGAGTATGACTAGATCCTATCTGAGAGGTGACTCAGTGGGGTGATTTTGATTGAATCGTGTCTCCTCTGTGAATTTGGTTGGCGTTGATATGCTGTCAATGTTTGATGGGGTTTTTGGTTTACGGGTGTATGACATCGTTCAATTAAAGCACTTTAAATACTTTAAATAAATGTTGTGACTAAAAGTTGATTTCAAAGCGGGCTGAAGGTCTCCAAAAACGCTAGTATCACGGCTGACATTTTACAAGATCCAGTGATCCAGGACATTTTTACACGTCAGAAGGTTCTTCAGGGTCCATCTCAAAGACCATCACTTTGAAACTGCTGGGCATGGTTACTGTTTAAAAAAAAAAACACATACCCTCTGGTAATTTAACATAGCTATTGAAAATTGTGTTTTATAGTGGATTTTCCCAGCTAGAAAATGGTGGATCTTTCCATAGCTATGTAAACGTTTACCAGAGGGTAGTGCTGAGATTTCAAAGGAACAAATTGCAGGAGACACCTTCCGCCGAAGTGAGCCGAGGGGCTTCCAGGTTCTGGGTTCCAAGATGTAAAACAACGGAGAGACCTGGTGGGCCAAGCTTTTTTCGCAATGCCCAAAGGCCCAAAAATCCACAGAACTGATGGCTTTTTGATGGAGTACTGTAGTAGTATGCTATAGTGTGCTGTAGTATGCTGTAGTATGCTATAGTTGTTGGAAGAATTAATCCTGAGTATCTCTAAAAACATATATCATATCACAGCAATAACGAGTTAAATAAACCAGGTTGTAGTGGTTAAAGAATTATCATCATCGAATATGGGAACATCCACCGTTCCCATGCTCAGGAGGCTCCATTGGATAGTCTCCTCCACCCCCACCACACTTCGAGGATCATCTGTAAAAATGGATAACCTCAACTGGGTACCTCACATTAAGCTACCCGTGACTGGTCGCATGCTCTGAATCTTCTTGCCATCTGACGTTTGATTATATATCTTGTTTCACCTGTTTCGTGCATGACGTCAACTGTATTGGCATGCGATAGGCAAGACACAAATGCACCAACCAATATCAAACGACTTCATTATTCAATACAAATATACACTTGGCAAAACAGTGCATAAAGCAATGGCACTCTGACCTAGTGATAACAAAGGTATAGCCCCATGTGGGTCATTGGTCCTTGGTTGATCACGTGATTTCCCCATGTTCAGAGAGAGTCAAAATTATATGTTGGTTACGTACATCCCACTAATGATCATAAAATATGTTTTGATGGTTTCAACCCCTCTGAAAAATATGAAAGTCAGTTGGAAGTATTATTCCCAATATATGGAAAAAATATAAAAATGTTCCAAACCACCAACCAGATAAAATCTGTGTTGATTTCTGCTCATCCTACGTTTATTGCTTAAATCTCCCTACCTGTGTTGGCATGATCATCCCCCATTAAAATTGCCTTTTCACTTGGGTCTGAATTCCCCCTTGTCAGACATCCCCCATGCCATAGCCGGTCCGCTTCGCCGTTGCCGGGGCACAAAGGGAAAGTCACATCCCCGCTGTCCCGGGATCGGCTTCTCCACGAAAGAGACCACCTACTGTGAAGGTTTCATAAGGGTCAAAGCTTAACAACCTGAAGCCTGGAAGCTACAGAATACATAGAAGGGTCACAATCAACTAATGGTTAATGGTGGTTAATGGATGGTTAATGGATATATATATATATATATACCTGGTTGGTGGTTGACCTACCCCTCTGAAAAATATGAGTCAGTTGGGATGATGACATTCCCAACTGAATGGAAAAATAAAATTCATGTTCCAAACCAAAAACCAGATATAAAAAGAAGGGTCACAATCAACTTCAGAACTTAGAAAGCGGAGATTGATGAAATGTACAGAAAATGTGGTGAAGATTGCATCATCAACCAATTTTGGCAACTTAGATCAAAGTCGGAGATTCAAACAGCTGGAATATGATGGCAATGAAACATTGGGGTTTGTCTGAAAAGGGGGGATACACCAAAACTGCAATTTTAAATGTTGGGTGTAGAGGATTCTTATTTAGGCAAACCCATCTGTTGTAAGTAGAATAAACCGGTTATTGGGCCCACTGGTGAAGAACCGCTGGCAACGGTTCTGGGCCTAAAATTGCAACCAAAAGCCGCAGAATCCACTTAAATGGAATGATTGGAATGATGGACTGGTCGAAAATCTTAGCAATCTCATCTTGAGGGTACACAACTTGGATTTGTTTTTTCGGGGCTCAAGAAAAAAAATAAGAAGATTCCCTTCATCGATTCCGCAACGGTGGATTTTAACCATTGGGACAAAAAGTAATCGATTCCCCAGCCATAGCGGATTTACCCTGGGAAGATTACCCGGCCTGGTAATGACTAACAGTTTGCGACATAGAAAATGGCCCAGTCGAAATAGTGGATTTACCCAGCTATAAATTGGTGGATCTTTCCATAGTTATGTTATTAACCACATATAATATATATATATATATATTATGCACGTATCGATGATATTAACAATATATTAACCATAGCTATCCCAACACAGGAAGATCAAGAAAAATCACCACGTCGCCGCTTGGCCTTGCTGCTTTCATCGACTTCGCACATGCCGCGCTCAGAGGGATTGTCCACTTCCCGACACCTCAGCCGTGGGTTGTGCAATGCGCTGGAGATCCTGGGGAAAACGTTGAAAGATGTGGAAAAACCATCCACAAATGGTGGGGAAAACCACATCGAAGTGTTGGTTTGCAGAGGCTAATCACCAAATATGGTGACCATGGTGGAAAACAATAAACATCTGGAAATGTCATCTATGTTAGACTACATCTATGTGATAATCACTAAAAATGATGGTTTACCCACCCAACAAGAGGCGGCTTGTTAAGCATCAACAGTGCTGGTTTTTTCGAAATGTTTCTAGCACACAAAATCTTGACCAACAACATCCAGCAACTACCGAGAACTGGAGATTAAAAAACAAAATATGGCATTTAACCCACGGATTGATATGATCCATGATGAGCGGACATTCTCTAAAAATCAAGACTCCTTGACGATCTCGATTTTTTATACCCGAGGTACGCAGGAAGGCCGGTGAGAGTTCCACCCCTATCACATCCCATCACCACTCCATTGGGCCAACACGGGGCATCCAAAGCATTGTGGATGATATTTTGAGATGTGGATTTGATTCAAAACAGGACATCCCAAAGTCCGTGGCGGTTATCATCATTTTGTGTATATTATTATATATATAGTATAATACGGATGTAGACATTAATATATTTATATGCGAGAATTTCGTTGTCGGGGGGTAGATTCCCCATTTTCAGACCATGAGACCATCAGAACCAGCGGGGTAGGGACTGGACGAACCCCAACTTATGGAAGTTTGTTAAGTCATGGGGGATCCCCTAAGTGACCATAGGTTTCAATACTAAAATATGGATTTGGGGATTGACACCTATGACTTGGTAAGTTAGGGGGATTCATGGCTTTCCTAATGACTTGGATGATTTGGGGGTGCCATGACTTTGGAACCTTCTCCCGCCAGGATTTCATCACAAGCCCAACCCGCGTGACCGCGACCGTCAGGGATTCGAGGGATCTCTGCAGCTTAGAAACCCGTAGTAGAGCATCAATGATCCACTCTTGTAGAAGTGAAAGTCCAAGATCCTCTTTGGATTTAGCACGCTGTCAAGGCAGCCGCCGGTGGCAACTGAGGTTCTTTAAAGGTCATTGAAGCCACTTTATGGAGTACTTCCGTTGTTCGCAAATGGATGTGGATCAAAATTCAAGACTTTCCAAAACGGCTTATTTTGGGGATCTTCTAGTGAACTCATTTTGGGTCGCCCCAAGTTGTATCATCCCCATACTTTGGAAAAAAACAAAAAACCTACCCAAAAACTGCGTCGATGGCAATCCGATTCATCTGGGGTTCACCCCAGGCAATAAACCTATATAAACCTACCATGACTTCCTGGAAAAAGGTGGAAATCCCACACCAAAATTGTCATTTTTCTTGGGCATGGAAAACCCAACCCAACCCATTTTTGGAGGCTCCTCTGCAGATCAAAGTCCTTGAAAAACAAGGTGTCACCGGCAAAGACCACCACGTCTCTACCTGAGCGAAAAAAATAAACTGGTGCCTTCAAGCAAAGCCGATGTTGTCCTCAAAGGTCTTGCCCCGCAAATGTGGAAAGTCAATGGTGAAAAGCTGAGTTTCTCGGGAAATTCGTGGAAAACCTTGAAATCCACTGGTTATCACTGCTTGTGAAAACCTCATTTTCCCTTAAAAAATCAGCACTATATTAAATCTATTGAAGTGTTTACATTCTTGCATTTTTCTGATCCGCCCATTACCAGGGTTGCCTATGATGGCGGATTCATCGGATATGAGGTACAGTTACCTCTGATGCTTGGGCATTAAGCAAGCCGCAATGTCATGCCATGAAGTACTGGGTTTTCCAGTTCATGGATGACGAAAAAACCACAATATATTGCACAGTAGAAGCCCCTACAATCATCGACCAGGGTTTTGAACACTGATCAAATAAAGAATTGACCAACCAGGATGGCATAGGTACCAGTCAAAAAGATAACCCCCACAACTAGATCCTTCTCCTTGCAGCTTGCTGTGCTCATCCCATCCATAGGTCACAACGATGCTATATTTGCCTGCAAGTAGCAGAAATCATGTTCCTGAACTCTCCTTTATATGAGAAAAATGTCCTTCAAAAACAATTCATGGATTCGAACATCCCTCAGGTTGATAATAGGATTCCCTCCGATTTTTATAGTCCCCAGTAAATTGGTTGTAAAAATCCCTTAGGGTTTGCAACACTGCTCCATTGCCCAAAGTCTCCAACTCCAATTCGCAGCCCTGAGATCAGTGCTCTCGATAGGACCCAGGACCCTTAGCCGGAAGATGGGAACTTGGGAAATCTTACGAAATAAACCAACAGAAATAAAAATACGTGGTTCCACTATCATATATTCTATGTGTATATATATATACTTTACATATGTATATATATATATAATTACATACACATATATTTATAGTTATATATACACTATGTCACTATGTGTGACACTGAAGCACCTCTTGAGTCTTGACATCACACCCTGCTCAGGTGGCCGACATTACTCAGGCGCGATCGTCTGAACAAACCAATAAAAATGGGAGGCGAGCATGTCACTGACAGATCGAGTATGCAAAATAAGCAAACGAACGTGGTACCCAAAATAAATATAGAAAATAAATGTAGAACCCAAAATAATGTGAACTTAGATACAATCACCCAAAAAAAATGTAGAACTTCGGGTGTCGCCAAGCGAACCTCCATGAAAAAAGTGCACAGTTTTCTATGGAAACCTTGCAAGGTTTCAACATCACTAAAAGGAAATAAGGAAATATAAAAAGCCAGTAGAACGCACGTTGGGGTGCAATTCCGCTTAGAAGTGGATATATAATCTTTTGGACCCCACTTGTATAGGGAGTATCCCCAGTTCATAAGGGTCAGCTGGATGCCACAACAACTGGGATGCACATCAAGGTAGTGATGACGCTGGGAAGGATACAGCTGGATTTTTTTGCACGGAAAATGTTGGAGTTCACCATCAATTGTTCACCCACAGCGGCCTCAGTTTATATAGCCAATCGAACGTCAGCATCTACCAATAAAAAAAGCCATCATCTATTCATAATCATCCCAGCATTATGAATGGATTCATAGATGACAATTAGTACTGGATTAATGGATTAATGGATTACTAATCATTGATTAATAACTATCCCAATCATTAGCAATCCATTAATCCATCAAAAGCCACTATTAATCCATCATCAAATCATTAATTATCCAGATCATTGATGAAAATGATGGGTTAACATTTAAATACATTAAACCACTAAGTAATACCCAAGATTAAGCTATGATTGGGATCACCAATCATTATCCCCATCATCCCAGACGCTGGAAATTCTTGGGAAATCATCGTTGGCTGAGCATCTGCTGCGCTCGTCTTAAGCCCAGCTCGACGTCCCGGAGGACACCTGAAAGACCGAACTGCTGGGGGTCTTTCACCAACGGAATGGTGATTTACCCCCAAAAAATTCATGGAATGACCATTGAAATATCCAAAAAAAATGGTGATAAAGTGATTTACCGATGGTGATTTACCCAATGAATGGAAAAAGGTGGTTATAAGTCCAAGAAAAACGGCTGAAGCAACACATCCAACACCCATCGGGATTTCATCTGCAAAGTCTACCAGTTGACCAGCGGGGATTGCCGACAAAGATGGAAATAACAGGGACACTTGCGACCGAATTATGTCATACATCACCGACCTGAAATGATGAGTCATGTTTGGATGATTCCACCCAGTGACCCAGAATCATTGTTGTTCTTTCTATTTGCTTGAAAAAAAAACTGAGCTCTGCGGATCATATTGCCATGGAAAGTTCCCTCTCAGTTCCAACGTTCCAAGGCCTTCTTTTTCTTACTGGTGCTAAACGTAGGGAATGGATGGGTTGCTGGGGGTTGCTGGGGGTTGCTGGGGGTTGCTGGGATGATTATCACTAGTGATTATGGATCATTCCCTCAAATTCCCTGCGTTTAGCACCAGTAAGTTTTTGGAAGGTCATGCGGGATCTGCCCAAATGTCAGGTCCGACCCAGCCGTTTGGCGCCAAAAACAGGATCAAAGATGACCGGCATACCCAATACCATCATCAAAAAAACATACATCAATGTACATGTTCAAACTTTAGCCATTTATATATATATATATTTATTTATTTATAGACATATAATATATATGTTATACAGTACATATATAGATGATTGCATAATCTCATAATCCAATAACGAGGTAGTATATTGAATATAATCATCCGAAAACCATGTGGGAATCATGTGGCCAAAGTGTAGATACCCCATGTATCAATCCTTTTAGAAAGATGAGTCATTCGTAATAATCCCAGCTCTTTATATATAATGGGTATACCCTCCGGTAGTCAAACATGTAGTGCTGGAAAATTCTAATTGAGTTCGATGATTTTCCCTTCCGTAAACCACCATTGATCAAGGATTTTCCAGCTAGTCACGTGACCAAAGGGTACCCTTTGGTAAACTAACGTAACTATGGAAAATCACCACTTTTAATGGGTAAATCCACTATAAATGGTCATTTTCAATAGCTATGTTAGTTTACCAGAGGGTATTCCCCCCGTTTTAGGACATTGACTGCTTCCAGTCACCTCGTCCCTTCTCCATGGCAGTGGCGCCACTATTCACCACCTGGGCAATGGCACGATCTTCATGGCTTTTTATCGATGGTTTCCGGTGAAGATTTTCCCCAAACCAATCCATTGAACTCATGGAAAAAAATCTGTGTACCCTCTGGTAATTTGTTACATAGCTATTGAAAGATCCACCATTTTTAATGGGAAAATCCACTATTAATAGTCATTTTCAATAGCTATGTTAAATTACCAGAGGGTACCATCCAACAACCCAACATTGCAATGGGAAATACCCCGCACACGCAGCCTTTTGCATGGGAAAATCATCTCAAAATCGGAGAATTCCAGGCCATGTTTGACCAGGCCGTAAAGAAATGTGTGTTTCATCCAATTCTGAGAGTAGTGCCACTGGAACTCGTTTCAAGTTTACAACGTTTACAACATCCTGGGTTTCCCTCACCTAAAATCAGATGCGAAAATTTAGGAAGTCCACAACTCTAAAGCCCGCTGGCTTTGCCATCACCCCTAGGGTGAACTCCCCCATAAGGTCACGTGTTCAGTAACTTCACGAGGTTTCCGTCAAAATATCCCTCCATGAAATAGAATGCCAGATTAGATAGATGTGAGATAGGAATGCCAGTCATGCCATGACATGCCAGAGAGAATGTCAGATAAGATAAGTGTCAGATTGAATGTCAGTTTTTCATGTCGGATAGAATGCCCGAATATATGTCAGATAGAATGTCAGGCAAATTGTATTAAATCGTCGGATAGAATGTCAGAGAAAATGTCAGATTGTATGTCAGAATGTATGTCAGACAAGATGTCAGAAAGCATGTAATAATATCCGTCAAAATATATGCTATGGTGGGGATCACACAGATTAAAGTAATTATTGTTTCTTGTTTTTGTCACACCTATGGTCGGTGTTCTTTTCAATCCTATCTAGTTGGACTGGTTATATCATGTTATATCAGTTAAATCCCCATAAGAATTCATCATAACATATCCCGTTACCATCTGGTTATTTAACATAGCCATGGAAAATGGCCCATTTATAGATGGTTTAAAAATGGTGATTTTCCATGGCTATGTTAAATAACCAGAGGGTAAATCAAAATATCTCCCCATCAAAATCCCCTTTTCGTATCCCCAGATTCCCAGCGAGAGACTCGACTGACGGCGATGCCTTTCGCCGTCGCCCAGCGTTCAAAGTGTTTGTATTTCCTGAGGCGCCACGGGTCCACGGCCCCACGTAGCGCCAGCTTGGGGAGTCGAATTATGCCACGCGTTCAGAAGGTGTGGTGAGACAAAATGGTGAATGGGCTGACTTTGGGAGGAAAAAAAAATAGGGAGATCGTCTTTCCAGTCAAACACAAACTTATGGGGTGTACTTCATGTGTATACAATGGGATAGAGGTATTACTCATGGGAATAATAATGGGAATAAGCAGCTCAAGAATGGTCCAACTCAAGAATTGTCCATATGAATGTTAAATTACTAGGGGGTGGCCAAAAATGCATGATCAGTTCAAGGCTAGCTCATGACTGCTTGGCAGTTGTGGGTTGGACCATGTTGCGCCAAATGGGACACAACTCTCCAGAGTCAGTATCTGCTTAAACCACCGTAAACCATACACTGACTCACAACTCTCCAAATATTTCATAACTCTTCACAAACTTATTCGGTTAAACCATTTGGTTAAACCACAGCTCTTCTAAATTAGTGAAGATCTTGAAAACCATTAATTAAGCATTAACCATCATTAACCATGATTAACCATTATCAATGGTTAATAAATGGTCCAAACGATCAACGATCCATCGAAAAAAAAAAAAACATGGAGTTTCGCTACAATCCGAAGGTCAGGTCGTTTCTGGGATTCAGTCACAACCCCATTCGTTTCCAAATCACTTTTGGCCATGAAAAATCCCCATATCCCAAGTATATCTATATCATATCTATATCATATATTATAATATTGCAAAAAAAAACTGGATTATGTTCCCATGAATTATTGAAAAACTCTTGCTACAATGGGCTTGTATATGGAGGTTTCCCAAGTCATGGGGGTACCCCGAAATCATCACATCATCCATGTTTTCGTTGGGATTTTCCGATGTTCCATGGTTTTTTTCCAAGAAAACAGCTATTTTGGGGTACCCCAAAAAACGATGGAAACTGGCCATGGCTTCATCACCGCTGTCCAAGGTACAAGGCATTGCTCACCAGGAAGATCTCAGAGATCAAACGATTCCTCGGCAACTGCAGTTGGCTTCGGCGTCGCTGAAGTTTCTGTTCAAAGACACAAAGTTTAAGGCTTCGATCTTGGGAGAATATCTATTATATGTGTGTATATATACACACGTGTATAATAGAAATTGTATACTATATAACTTATATAACTAAGTAATACTGAGTATATGTATGTACGTATAGATATGCTCATGGTTTCAACACCTGGGTATGTATAATGGATACATGATTTGCTCATGTGATAAAAGTCCTGGTGTGTTGACACACAGTAGTCGTCGCACACATAGGTCAGAGGTGTCTGTGGATCAAAAATGATAGGACCCAGAGACCCAGAGTTTGTTGATCTTTGCTGGCGCGTATCCAGGTCATGTCACAACACAAAGATGTTTTTCTCAGATTCCAGCTATATCTCTTGGCGATTCTCATCATCACAACTAATTGCGTCAAGGGGCTTCGGAAAACTGTGACCAAGATTGACCAAGGGGATTGACAACCACAGTAGCCTCCTGTTCTCATCTTTTCCCCATTTCTCTCATGGTCACCTCAGATGTCATATATTGTCATACATATCATACATCCTCTGTGGCTTAAATCTCGATCTCGGTGTCATCTCCGTTTCCTCGTCCACCATGCAAATCTATAAAATCATATATGAACTACGATGAACTACATGAATTCCCGGTCTTCAACGACTAATTGAGACTACCCTCTGGTAATTTAACATGGCTATGGAAAATCACCATTTTTAATGGGAAAACCATGGAAAACCCACTATAAATGGCCATTTTCAATAGCTATTTTGACATAACCAGAGGGTAAGTCATCAAAATCCCCCAAATTTTCTTGGCCAAATTTTCCCAGGTTTCTAGTGTCCACAGTGTCCACGTTCACCAAGCAGCTGAAAGAGATATTCCTGGCGACGCGCCGGATCCATATGGCTTGGTGCCGTCACGAGGAATCCATAGCAACCCCAGGAAAGATCGAAAAATATATTCGGAAAGCTGGAAGAAAATCCTGGAACAAAATGGGGAAACATATTTTCTCGAACTAGCAGACTAGCATTCTGCTTCAACATGTTTTTGGATTTCTTTGGAGGTGCTTTCTGTAGAATTGGTGAAATCCCTAGAGCTGGGCATTGGCCGATCTGATCAGGTTATCATTTTATCTCGGTCAAACAGCAACTGGTTGGTTTCAAACAGCTAATATATGGTTAATATTAATGGATTATAATGGTTATTATATGGTTAATGAATGTTAATGAATGTTAATGATGGTTGATAATCATCTGGTTGGTGGTATACCTACCACTCTGAAAAATATGACTTCGTCAGTTGGGATGATGAAATTCCCAATATATGGAAAAATAAAATTCATGTTCCAAACCACCAACCAAGCAAGTATCTCTATCTGTTTGACGTTTGGCAAATCTGACCAATGGATTTTCCCTTTCATGTTTGATACCCAGCAAAAGACATGAATCTGGGAATCTGGGTCGGGTATTGTAGTGCATCCCCGGTTCAAAATTGTTAATTGCAAATATTGTTACACATCATACGGTCGGTTATGATAATCCCCGGTTGACTTTAGTCCAAGATAATCCAAGATATCGGCTTTGGGAAAATTAGGCACCCCCCAAACATCAATGGCCTTAATTTAAGGGAATATCCCCACAAAATATGGCCAACAATATGGTACTAACGTACCTCCATTTTAGGATCCTGGAATTCCCATTGACTTGATGGTGTATCATCATTTTCCCATGGCCACCCGTTCACCGCTGCCAAGCTACCCACCAATGGTCCAACATGGGTTTCCCTGCCACGGGTAGTAGCGCCTGGTGCGAATTTGCCACACTGCATGAGGATTGGGACAATAGTATAGAATACTATTCCCGGAGAAACCAACTATCATTGGTGAACTGTGGATGTCTAGGTGTGTCTGAAAATAGGGTATACCCCAAAATAGTCCTTTTGAATGGGAAAATGATCACAAACCATTACATTTTGAGGCACCTTATTTTTAGGCAAAGCCAATCAAAGCCATATGTAATGGGTACCATTATTATTCTGGGTATAATGGCTATGTGTAATGCATATATAATGGGTCTATAATGATATATTTATATATAATGGGGATCGGCTCCTTTTTTTGCATTTCTCCACAACCAAAATGATCAGATTGAACATGATTGAAATTCATCCTCGTTTATCAGCCATCCTAATGTCGTACACCTGATCAAACCCCAGGAGGGTGTGGTGCAACCTATCTATCATCCCACCATAAAACTGGAGATTGGTTCATTATTGTCTGTAAAGAATTGGTGACTTCTCCAGAATTGGTTCATTATTATCTTGACAGAATTACGAAGCACCAATTCTGGAGAAGTCACTCACCAGTCTTAAGTTCTCCATTTATCAAATATGCCCAAAATTTGGTATCTGAAAATACCAATTAGATTGATTAGTTGGGGAAATGACAAATACCACTTAGTTCTCCATTAACTAGGATTTTTAGGAATAATGGAAAATCAAAAATTACTTCCATTTAATAGCAATTATCCAGTAATTTGATAATCCTTAATGTACCATTAGTGAGTTACCCTTGTACCTTAGTTATTTGATGTACCATCTAACCAATATTTCTACCTTAGTTAATATACCATTAGTTAGTTCTTCCAATGAGTTACCATCTGGTTATTTAACATAGCCATGGAAAGATCCACCATTTTTAAATTCGGTAAACCATCTTATTTCGATAAAGGGGCCATCGAAAAACCATGGCGAACTGTTAATCATAACCATCATAACCAGAGGGTTTGGTAAACTGGAGATCTAAGATACCCTCTGGTAATTTGTTACATAGCGAACTGGAAAGATCCACCATGCTATTCATGGGAAAATCCACTATCGAATCCCATCCCGCCTTGGGTAAACCCGCTAAGTCGTCTCCATTGGCTTCATCCAACTCCTAAAGTGCTGGAAAAAAATCCCAATCCTGGAAAGGTGGATATAATCTGGGAATATCATGAGAATATTGGTGGATATGTATGTACATATTACATATGTATATATGTATATATATATACATATCTAATAAGTTTATTTTTTTTCCGGTGAAAAAATGATCTGGAGAATCATGGCGACATATGGCTGTCTGAGAACTGGGGAAACCAAGTAAATCCTTGGTGAACTGTTGATATATTTCGGTGTGTCAATGGGGCAACCCAACATGGGATGATCAATTCACACTATTTACCCTCTGGTTATGACTAACATAGCCATGGTATAGATGGCCCTAATCGAAATAAGATGGTTTACCGAACTTAAAAATGGTGGATCTTTCCATGGCAAACTGTTAAATAACCAGATGGTATAGTCGTCTTTTTCTGAAAATAGGGGCACCCCCCAAATTTCATGCTTCATCAGAAAAATTGCCATGTTGGAAACATCATGATGGAAAAAAAAAAATGTTCAGAAAAATTGAGCCATTTTCTCCATGATGTCATCATTTCACACAAATTGACGACAAAAACTGCTTGAAAAATGATGGAGTCCGTCAATGGGAAGGATGACATCCCCATATATGATGGAAAATAAAAGCCATGTTTGAAACCACCAACCAGAAAATCATGGATCAAATGGCCCCAAAAAATGGGGGTACGGCAGCTGTCGCCGTCCTTCTCCACCTTCGAGAAGCCGGCGGCCAGGACGATGCAGATGGCACCCTCGTACATCCTGTAACGCCCAGGGGGATTGAAGCGGACCTGCCCTGGCCATCCTGGGAGGATGCAACTGACATTGGCACCTCTATAGTTGGCCGCTACGAAAAAAATCATTGAACTCAAAGTTAGAGAGTGAAAATAGGCAACCTCAAATTTCCCAAATTATCCAAGTAGAGAATGGTACCTGGCCGGTACCTGACCGTGGGATTGGAGCATGACATAGCGTGAGCAGTTTCAAATGTTCTTGAAACACGTGAAAAAACATCCTCCGTCTCCTGTCATTCTGCAGAGTTCCCATTTCTTACCCTCTGGTAAACTAACATAACTATAGAAAATCACCATGTTCAATGGGAAAATCACTATAAATGGTCATTTTCAATAGCTATGTTAAATTACCAGAGGGTAGATTGCTGACATCCCCCAGTTGCTGGGCTCCTCCCGTCATTCCACTCATCAGACCTTGAATTTTTGATCACCTTTCCGGGTGATCACAGGGACACCTTTCCCCGAGTTCCGCCCTTGGGCTGATTCAATCATCTCACATCCACGTTTCCACGTTGATATTCGAAATCACACTCAAAAACTAAAAAAAAACATAAAAAATCACATCCATCATTGAAGTCATCACATATCCCATGGATATCCCATGGCTTTCCCATGGCTTTCCCATAGCTTTCCCATGGCTTTCTCCATCTCCACCGCTCCGCTCCGGGCGCGTCCTGTTCACCGCCGCTCCGTCGCCCATCTCCTTGGTGCCCAGCCGCAGCATCGAGGACGTCGTGGAGCTGGGCGTGGCCGCCGTGGCCGTCGTCGCCGTCGTGGCCGTCGTGGCCCTCAGATTCTGGTTGGAGACGAAAGATTTCATCGGAGATTCACAGGAATAGTGATTTATGAATGGACAGTCAGTGGGATTTTTCAGTGGGTTGTTGGTTGTTGGGGCTTTGCCACCCCCTGAAAAATACGCTCGTTGTTGGTTTAAAACCATCCCATTTCTATAGTTGAAAATTGAAAAACATGAAACCACCAACCAAAGTTTGATAGTTAGGCATAGAATAAAAGTTGTGCAAACTCGATGAAGGTATGGGTTTTATGTTCAATAACTTTGCCAAGAGTTCTATTCACTTCTTGGTTAAGGAGAAGAAAACTACGGAAGAAACCAGATATAAATTGTTTAAGGACAAAACTTAAGTTGTAAGAAACTGAATATACCCTAGCTAAGGCAAGGATAGGCAAGCATAGGTAAGGATGAATGGATACACTCGATTTAGCAATGGGATACTATCTGAACTGGCCCATGCCTAGCCATCTGAAATCCCTTCCCGGCCTAATTACGCAAAATGATAAGAAACACCTAATGCATGCAATAAATACATAAATAATATTAAATAATGCACTGATACATTTCCATGACGAAGGACCAAAAATATCCGATGGATCGGGTATCACTTTCCCAAATGAGGAATTCGTCCTATCAAAGAGGAGCCCAGAGAACAGCAGGTAGGCGCCGCTGTGCTTTGGATGTTAAAATTTGACCGCGATTACCATCATATACCATAACCATATCAAGGATATCCATAGCTGCTGTAGCTGACTTGAGAGTGCTTTGCTAAGTCATTGGATTCCTGGTGGATCCTGCTTTACTAAGCCTCATATTCAACCATTCGAAAAACGAAAATGCACCAGTTCAGCGGTTCGTGTCTTGAACGGCCACTGTTGAGCTGGGAATCCACGGTCAAATGTGGTCAGTGAGTTCAACAAAAACGGACAGTGCTGGGTAAAATGCAAAAGGAACTCCTTCAAAGTCTCCTTCAATGGCTCAGTTACAAGCTGTTTGGGAGGCCCCAAAAGTCAATTTTTCTCAGTTTTCAGTTCAATTTCATCCTGGATACATATAGCAACTTACAATCTCTGGGAAACGTCTAGGAGGGGACAATCCCAACATTTCAAAGCGATAAGAATGAAAACAATACATTTAAAAGAAAAAAATCATAACAATTGATACATATAGATTATAATGTCATATAGATATATAATATATATATATATACTATGTAACAATACTATGTTTGACATCCCAACATGCTGGATACTATGATATGCATTGATGAATATGCTATGCATTTCAGCAACCGATCGACTCGATCGACTCGATCAGAGCGCTTCCCCGGTTGCCAAGTGACATTTGGAGCGCCAAGGCCGAGGCCACAAATTTCTTTGTTTGTCAAGTTTGTGAGGTTTTTTTTTGCATGAAATTTCTGGTGGATGGTCCATGTTATAGGTGTTATAGTCAATTCAAGTTGGTTATTGATGTAATTTAGTGTTCTTTGCGAGGTTCGTGATTTCGTAATGATTGCCCACACTGTGGTCATTGCAAGTTGCAAAAATTGACTTATGGCGTCTTTTCTAAAAACTATTGCCTCAAGATGAAATCAGTATCGATGGCTTGAACGTCTATTCAGAAAGAGGTGTTTTCGTGTTGATCTATGACTGTTGCTGGTACCCTCTGGTTATGTCAAAATAGCTATTGAAGCCATGACCCAGTCGAAATAGTGGATTTTCCCATTAAACATGGTGGATCTTTCCATAGCTATGTTAGTTTACCAGAGGGTAGACGACAGGATGATCCATGACATCCCCCATATCCATGGTCCGGTCATGACGGGCCTCCTTTGAGCCCCGAAGCTGCCGAAGCTGCGAGAGAAGTCGTTTTGAAGTTTGACTCATCCCCTTACTATGCACAGAATCTTGATCATATGTATATATATATATATCCATATATATATATATATATAATATATATATAATCCCCTCTCCAATTGCTGGGGTGAGGCTGGAGGAGAGGATTTTCTGTATAAAATGGATTTGGCACTTTTTGACCATCTATAAAAATCAAGCCCTGCAACAAGCAACCACCAGAATCACTATAAAAACAAAACTCAAACCATCATTCTGGAATATTATGGACAGCTCTGGTGTATATTATTAAAACCCAAAGATTGGTTTTCAAGATTTTCAAGTCTATAACTCAGAAGACTGCTAAGTCAAACCCTCTCCTAGTAGGTGCCAGCATCTTAGGGATTAGATCTTATAGATTTTTGATATACCTTAACCAATTCAAGGTCTTCAATGATGGAATAGATTTTATACAGAATCTAGGGGTTACCAAGGTTTTAAAAAGTAGAGCTCAATTCAATCTGGGGCTTCAATTTTATACAGGAGCTTCATTTTATAGTCAGGTGCTAGAATTTCCTCCTTCACAAGATCAATGTGAGAAGGTTGTGATTTTTTACCAGCGCTTGATTTTTTACAGTCCATCGATTTTATACAGAGGTGTGGCATCTTTCCTGTGAGCAGCTGCAGCATGCAATTTTTCTTGTGCTTTGCCCATGGTCTGTTGTTTCATCCCACATCGCCGCATCCAACCATTGATTCAATAGTGAATCAGGCTTTGCAGCAGTACATAAGCTCACCTACTGAACCCTACCCAAGCCAGATTTAGGCTCCACTCTGAAGCCCGCAATGGGGACGTCAAACATCGTCAAACAACAAGCACAACATCCATCAACACAATGAGAAACACATCACCTGAAGCACCTGCGCATATTCAGACATTGAGACTGCCGATCCCCAAATGCGGTTGACGTGATGAAAATGCATCCATTGATCCCACCACAGCATACCACAGCACTATAGAATGATACAATTAAAAAAAAAACATTAAAACAAATCAACCCAAACAACAACAATAAATAGCAATATATAATATCAGCAATCCCAAGAAGCTATCGACGCTAAGGATCGCTTAGGCAGTTCTGCAAGGCAGGGATCTCAAGGGAAAATACATGCATTCCAAATTAATTATCAAGCTTCGTCAAGCTTGAGATGCAAAATGCATCTTCACTCTCAAAAAACTCAGCGCTTAATGAACTGGCAAATCTCAGTGAGCAACATCAGCCAAGCACCTCGCTCAGGCTGGTTGGCCTGAAGCTGTGTCTGAGCACGGAGGAATCTTTGATGGACTTGTCTGCCAAACATCTTGGGAGACAACTTCCAATACCTCGAGCAAGGATGCATGAGCAGATCAGCTTTCTATAAAATGATATCCCACTGAAGCTCCAACAATGTCATCTCTATAAAAACCCAACCATACATGAATATGCAAATATGGTGTTTCTATAAAATCAAGACCCTGCAAAGAGTATGAAAACTCTTGGAAAGGCTGATCATGCCTTGTCTATAAAATCCGATCACATCCAATCCAGTTATGGAATGGCAAAGCAATGGCATTATTATGACATCAGCATGCCAAGCGACGTCGCTACAAAGAACTGATGCGCGTTCATCACCACTTCTTCCCACGTGATCTCCTTGAACTTGTGGTTGCCAGGAAGTCTGCAAACACCATCGAGGGAGAACGAAGGATCTTTGAATCTGCCTAGCTCGGCTTTCCTCAAGCGATTCATGGTCTGCACCACCAAGGTAGGGCCGTCACCAATCTTCTTGAAGTTCTTGGGTTGGAACGGGACAACCTTGGCTTTCTCAACTTTTTTCAACTTCTTCAAGGACTTGCTGGCAACGATCACGCCAGATGCCTTCTTCACCTGCTCTTTGTCTTTCTTGTCCTTTGAGGACTTCTTCTTCTTCGACTTGCCCTTGCTTTTCTTTTCCTTCTCTTCCATGCCGTTGGCTTCTTCATCATCTGCCGGCACCTCTGCCTCAGTCTCCTTGGTATCGCCTCCAGACTTTTTCTTCTTTGAATTTTTCTTGGTTCTCTGCCTGCGTTTCCTCTTGTACAAGCCTCTTGAACCTTGGGTTGGTTCATCCTCAGGAACTGGCCACCAGTCAGCAACGCTGCTGTTCAAGTCAGTCCAAACTGACATGGAGCTTTCCGTAAGCTGGCAAACCATGCGATCAACTTTCAATTCTTCATCCTGAACATCAAGGATCGCTACCACTGACTCTGGTCGCAGGACCCAAGGTTTGGACCTCTGATGTGCCTGAAACTTGGTGAGGAAGCCCGGACAGCCTTGCAGTTCTAGGCACCTGAAAGCCACCACATGGCCCAGGCTGGTAGGAAGATTTGTCACCTGGGGTTTCTTGGAATTTCTCCAGACTGTCGTCACAACAGCCAGGATGGCATACCTGCTGCCCACATCCTTTCCTGGAACCACCACCATCACGATATGGCCGTGCCTCAGAACAGAATACCGTCTGTCACAACAGGCAAACGTCTATTGGACGAAAACAGACTGTATAAAAAAATCTATCAAAACCAGTCAAAAACAATTCAAGCAAAATCCAAACGACTGCAGCCCGTCTGGCAGCTTCAGTGCCACCTCCTGATCTTTGGCTGCCTGCAATGTCGCACCCCGCCATTTGTCAAGACGACTTGCCCTCTGTCTGTAGGTGGTGGTGGTTTCCTCTCGCCGAAGTTCTGCGAGCTTGGATTCATTCCAACTCAGCAAGAGCAGGAAGGGATCATAGCGTAAACAAATTGTCAAGTACGAGTATAACTTCATCATCTTAATACGCTTTCTTCCAGCAGTATTTCTTCTATAAAATCATGACCCTGTAAATTAATGAATCTGCTGATCTATAAAATCCACCTCAAACATCCTGAAACAAGTTCATGATATACCTGACTTCTCCGTGCCTCCTGTATGATATATGCTCAAAAAGAATCCAAAACATCGTTGAAATCACTCAGCATTTTGGTGATACAGAGTGTGAAGATGTGTCAACTGTGTATATCACATGTCTTCTGCTGTCTTCTCCATGCTTCTCGCATTCTGTGCGCTTATTTGCATCGTACTGGGTACTTGATACATCTTGATACTATAAAATCATGACCCAGACAGCCAACTGGAGTATCTGAACTATAAAATCCACACCACTGTCGTGAACTCATATACCTGAAATATCCTGAAATTACCTGAATATATCACAACAATTCAAGATGCTCCAAATCATTCCAAGTCACTTGTACCAGCTGGTAGCCCTTGCCGATCTGCGTGCAGCTCGTGGGTTCTTGAGCCAGTGTTTGTCTCCTCCTTGTTTGTAGTGCCTGAGGTACATGCAAAGCCTCCACAGTGCATCAAAGACAGCACCGCCATCATTGTCCAAAGTGAGCATGCCAGGGCAAAGGCTGAGAGTCCGGTGTAGAGTGCACCCGTAGTCTGCATCCATAGTGGCTTGCATCACTGCGTCTTCAGCACGAAATGGGCTAGCAGGCTCGCCTCTGGCTTCAAAAACCTCTCGGAGCTTGTCGCTGTCAGGCAAACCCTGCAATTCAGGAGCAAGGTGGCCTTGAAGATTGGAAGCATCATGGTCGGTCTGTTGGGGCTCTTGCCTTGCACTCTCTGCCTCCTCGTCAACGCACTCATCCTGGGCATTCTGCCGAACCATTTCCAGCAAGTCCTGGCATTGACGGTCATCAGCATCAGCTTTTTGTTCACCAAAATCCTCCCAGAAATCTTTGGGATCTTGTTCCCATTCATGGAGTTCACCATTGAGGTCAGCAGCACTGAGATTGTACCCTTCAGACTCCAAGTAAAGGGAACGCAGGCTCTCCTCACTCACATTGCTGCAGAACGCCACCAGCTTGATGGCAGAATCAAGAGCTCGCTTGCTCATGTCAAAGAACTCCTCCGGAGAAACTGCCTTGGGGGAAGATCCACCAGAGCGGGAAGAGGGCTGCACCTTGCCTTCCTTCACGTATCGCAACATCTCCTTGGCTGCTGAGCGCCAGAAAGCTCTGGCGCTTAGCTGGCTTGTGCTGGATCTGGATCTCAGTCTTCCAAACCATTCCTCGATCGGTAACTCGGTCATTCTACAATGGCCTGATTTCCAGCAATCCCCAGGAAAGTCAAAGTTGAGAGCCACTGCTACGATTCCTAAGGCGCAGCATTGGAGGTTTTTGTGAGTTTGTGGAGCCATCCACAAGCTTCCTCGACCTAGCTTTCGGGATGTGCAAATCCGATCTGCAACCAACCGCCAAATGTCTAGCAAGACATATCCCGTGAGCGCGTTCTCACACCTGACTTTCAAAGGCATCGTGCGGTGAGTTGAAGGCGCCTCGCATCAGGAGGCGAACAACACAACGCAGGGAAACACTGTATAAAATCAAATCCTGTGATAATCTTATGCTTGAAAACTATATAAAATCCACTCCCTGTAATTGCCCATCTTGTCACCATTAACTAAGCGTGCTACAAAACTACAAGCTTACCACAAACTTCCAACCAGGACCCCTTCAGCCAAGCATCTGAACACAATGCTGTTGTCAAATTCAGCAAGAAGAAGCCACGTAGGTTCCATGGGATATCCACCGCTTCCACTGTGTTGTCCTTGGTGTGGCAGCTATATATGTATGATATTGTATGATTATGTATGTTGAAACTGGAAGCTATTAGTACCTACTCACTTCAACATATATTATATATATTATATATATAATTAATTATAATTATATATATACAGGACATTACAGGACGTAGCATGTACATGCATGTACAGATATGTCCAGTATATAATCCAAACCCTTGAAAGTGTTGCAAAGAATTTGTATAAAATGTAAATTGCATTAAAGTGTAGTAAAATGCAATAAACATCAGTAGCTCACGCTATTGCATTCAAGACTCCGGAGACTCAACCACAAAAAACGGGTTGAACAGAAGACAGTGCAACGCGTCGCTCATGGGCTCTGCTCGGGAATATGCCGTTGGAGGCAATCCAAAATGCAGGGCCCCGGTGTGGTCAGCAATGAAATTGCCCAGCATGATGCTCCGCAATGGTGAAGTCAGTTGTCCTCCTACAGCTTTCACAGCGTGGCCTAAGCTGTGGAAAAGCAGGCAGCAGGAGCTTGCAGCTCATGATTTACAAAAACGTTTGCAGCCTTGACACAACTATGACATACTATGACTATGACTTTAGTGTCATAGTATGTCTTAGTCATGTGGTGTCTATATGATTCATTATGATTCTATATGTGTCTATAAAATCAAAAACATTAACCACTATGTCATATAATGTCTATAAAATCCAAAATCCTCAATCATGATCAATCATGATCATGTACAACCATCAAAAAACAAAAAGCACACCAAAGAACATCCAAGCAACAGACCCCTGGCAGAGCAAATACCGCAGAGCCTTCACTGAAACAAAGTCTCAGTGGTATGTTGGGGATGACGTTGTCAGGCAGATCCTTGTAGGTCAGTGCCTGGATCCACTCAAGACCATCAAGGTCAGGATCGTTGATGCGGTCACATTGTCCAAACAAGATGTCTCGAATCCATGCGTTTGACCCGTGAGCATCAAACGTAACAGCCTTGATCACCCAAGAAGAAGTCTTCATGATGCGATCGAGAACCCGCAGCATTTCCTGGAAGTTTCACATGTCTGTGTTTGAGTCCTTCAAATTCAAAAGTCCATTCATTACCGAGGAGATAGGGGTGGTAAAAAAGAAAACTCCCAATATGCACAATTCTACAACCATAATCATCCATAATTATCCATAATCTAGATTTAATGAGTGCCTAGAATATCCTGGGACCAATGTGACCAATGTGACGCCAAGACACCCGTTTCCCGTGATTGCTGATGGAACCATCTGCGTCACTAGCCTTCAGCGACATTGGCATTGATGCCAAGGACAAAGGTCTATTGCGTTGCACACTGGTTGGATCCCACACCAAAGCCTCCAGCATCAATGGTGCCTTCTGGCTCTTCAAAGCTTTGTCTGGCAGCTTTGTCAAATCCATGAAGCTTCTATCGTTCTCCTCTTTTTCGTCAAGGTCGGGATGCCAGCATCCTCCCACAAGACCGGCACGGTCGCCCAGCTTTGCTTGCGCAAAGCCACGTTGGAGGTATGTGTGGTCGAGTGCAAGCACTAACCTGCGAGCAACCTCTGATTTCCTTGGGAAAAATTGGTCTGCCAGCTCTGTGTTGAGCTCAAGCCGGTTGTTCAATGACTGCTTCAAAGCTAGCATGGGGTTTGGCAAGCTAAATTCGTGGAGTGTCTCCACATTGAGGGAAGGAGGCCGAAGGTTTTGGCCCAATTGAGTAGCCAGCTCACGATTTGCACCGGCAAGTGCAAATGTAAAAGCAGCATTGGATACTAGATTTTCCTCTGTGACGGTGCACAAAGGTTTGCGCCCAACTGTCAGCACACCTCTCTCTCCTTTATCCAAATGCCGCATGCATTGGACAATGATTCCTTGCAAAACTGGATTTGCATCCAGCTTACCCGTCACGGCAGCCTTCGCTATGGAGACATTGATCTGGTCAAGTTCCTTGGTATCATATGGTTTGACTGCTATAAAATCCAAACATTCAATCCTCCAAAGAGGTCCAGTAGTATAAAATCTAAACCCTGAAAACACAGTATCTCAGAACATCCTAGAAAAAAAACTTCTACATGAAAACATGGAATCCTCTTGAGATGTTCAGCGCTATAAAATCAGAACCTTGTAAACTTTTAATCAGAATGAAGTACTGCAGGTTGGTAAAAAATCCAAACCCATCCAATCCATTCCAAACCTTCAACAGTATTCAACCAACATCATAGTCAGAGCAACCCAAGCTGAAAGTGCCAAGGAACATTCAGTCGTCTGGAAGCAAGCGCGTTGACAAACTGCATGGACAGAGATGCCATAGCAGGATTCACTGCGCCCACATTGATCTTCATGCAAGGCGTCACGACTGAGCCGATGAAGATATCCATGGTCTGGGTCTTGTTGCCATCGTTCATTGACTGCCAACTCCTACGGACATCCCTCTGCATTTCAGAAAGAGGCATTGAAGTTTTGCCATCCCAGTGCTTCTTGTTTCGCTGCCCAAAGGTCGTCTCAGCAACTTCTGCCTGAAACTTTTTCACATCATCAGCACTACCAAAGATCTTCTTGTTGAGGAAAATTGCCAAGAAAAACTTGGTAATGAAGCGCTGCACAGCGCGAACAACACCCCTGGCATCACCAGCTTCCAGGCACTTTGAGCACATGGCAGGCTTACCTTGGACACCTGGCTCAACCTTCCCAAGGCAGTCCACATGCCTCACATACCAATGGCCATTGGTAGCATCGCTCCAGTACTTGTGCGATGCGTTCCCATTGAGCTGGCTGTGGGTTGCCCAAAGCTTGTACTCCTCGAAGTACTGATTCAGGATCCCAGGTGAATCTTCACTGCTAACGCAGTATCCCTCACATTGAACAAGGTCAGAGTCAGCAACAGGCTTCTCTTCTTTGTTTTGGTTCATCTTGGCCAGCCGCTGCTGATGTTTCTGGCTCATTTTGGTGTGCTGCTCAATGAAACTCTTCGCAGTCTTGAAATGAACTCGGGGAATCATGTTGATCCTCCCATCAGGAAATTGCTTCGTTGTGCAGATGGTGCAGCGATAGTTGAGAGTACCATCTCCATTCTCCAACAGCTCAATCACTGGCTCCAAGGTTTTCATGTACTTGCGGATCGCTTCCAAGTGATTGAATTCATCATCCTCTGCATCATCCTTTGCATCATCCTCAACATTGCCTGAGGCCGCTGCTGCATCCTCCTCCGGTGCACCATGCTGGTCTTTAGGCTGGTCTTGCTGGCCAGCATCTAAATCAGCTGGCTCCTCCAAAGCTTCCTCCAATGCTTCCAAAGTAATGCCTTTCTTCTCCAAAAGGCGCTGACACACTACACATTCGGGCAACTTGTTCTGCAGCAAGTCGACTTGCATTTTCTTGAATCCCTTGTCACAGCCTCCGGACTTTTGAGACCTCCCAGCACGGCTATGGAAGGAGAGGAAGAAACCATAGGAGAGTTGACGCTTGGCCAAGTACAACTTCAGAGCACCCTGCCGCCTCTTCTCCTCAGTAAGTGGACGAGATTTGCAAGCACGTGGAAACTTCTCTCTGCGTCTTTTCCTCACCATCATATCTACTACTTCCTCATCTTGGCTCTGATCTTGGTCCTCTTCCTCTGGTTCATCTTGCTTTTCCTGGCTCTTTCTCTTGCGGCTTCTGCGTGGTTTTTTCTGAGTCTCCTCCATATACGAATCATACATGCCTGTCAATTCTGGACACACAGGTTCAACCAAAGCCTCAGACGCAGCTTGTTCTCGAGTCTTCAACTTGGGTGCCGGTTTCTCGGAAGGTGCTCCCAAAGAGACTGGCTTTGGATTGCCTGAAACTACAACCCGCAAAGGCCTGTCAGGTTTGTAAGGAGGTGTGGTAGGCTCATCGTCTTGCTCACCTTCGCCTTGCTCACCTTCGCCTTGCTCACCTTCGTGCTTGCCCCCCTTGTTGGACTTCTTGGGATCGCCTTGCTCACCTTTGTGCTTGCCCCCCTTGTTGGACTTCTTGGGATCGCCTTGCTCACCTTTGTGCTTGCCCCCCTTGTTTGACTTCTTGGGTGTAGCAGGAGCCTCCCCTTCGTCAGCGCACAAATGTTTGAAGACCTTTTGCCACTCTCCATTGTTAGCCACAGACATCCACATTTCGGCCAACATGCTCCGCGTCCTTTGTTGCAAAGACGGACGGAACTTCTGCATATCAGAATCCTGCTGGATGAGGCACAACAAGCTCCATATCAAGCAATTGCCATCCCCGGGGACATCAACCATGGCTATGCCGATCTCTTTCAGCTTGCCAATCAGGTCCAAATAGTTCTGCTGTCTTAGATGCGGCAGGCCAGGGTGAGAGCAACAGGATAGACAGGATGCAAAATGCATCAAAATTGATCTTCTGTATTCTTCTGTAAGGGGTTCGAAGTACACCACAGTACTACTATAAAATCCAAAGCTGGGGATGCAATTCCAGTATAAAATCCAAACCCTGAGAATCCATGGCCCTCATTGACCCATCTGAAGCATTATACATAGACAATATATATATATATACCATATTCAATATTGTGTCATTATAACATGAAATATGTTAATATATTATATATATATAAACCATTATAATCCATTATATAACTATATAGATAATATCAAAAGGTTATATGAGATTATATAGGTATATACTATGTAGATTATATATATATAGTATTATATAGGATTATAATGGATTATACAGGCTTTAAATGGTTTTAATATGTTTTAAATTGTTTTAATATATTTTAATATGTTCTAATAGTATGTAGTCATCAAATGTTAAATATCAAATTTATAACACTGTATAAAATCCAAACCCATCCAAACTCATTCCAGACCCAGCATAACCCAGCTACATTTCACACTGATCTTTCAATCCAGCAATGACTGCAGCCATCTCTTGGTCTTGTTCATCGCTATCTTCGTCTTCTGGATTTCTTAGCTCCCATGCCGCAATCTTGTTGTTGATCTCAACGTACTCTTTCCTTGCCGTTGCTTCTGCAAGAGTTGTCAGAGTCCAGAACCGTTCATCTCCAAGTTGTTGCTGGGTAAAACATGGTACCCAATGATTGCGAATGTTGCTCTTGGGGTCCCAATTGGCGGCACAGGTAAGGAGTAGCCATGTATCGGGACTTGACAGGTTCAGATCTCCACTACCAGAAGTGACCATCTCAGGGATAGCACTTCGCACATAGGCCACCGCAGATGAAATCTCAAGCTTCCGCGCTTCATTGTCCCAGATAAATCCCAACGACTTTCCATGAAGCTCTGCGCATAGAAACGCATCTCCAAGCTCCAAATGCTTTCCAAGTTTGCCTACATGGTCACGAGCGTAGCTCCGGATCTCATCCGCTAGTGCTGGATCTCCTGCACATTGCCCACCAAGAAGCCATAAAACATCATAAAACTTTGTCCATGGGTTTCTGCTACATCCTAGGGATTCCCAGCGTTCAACATTCTGCCAAACCTTCACCATCCTGGAAGCATGTCTGAACATGTCTGAACTAGAGCACGAACCCCTCTCCTGTCACAGGCCCCTGATGCTCTTCTCGTTCTTTCTTCACTGTCACTGCTGCTGGAGCTTGCTCTTTCTTAAGAACCTGGGAGGAGTATGGTGGAGTCAGGAACTGACCAAACTGAGGAAGCTAAACAGAAAAGGAAGAAACACTAACCACAGTGAACATCCACTAGCCTCAATGCCCACATCTTTTATGAATTCTCTATAAAATCTAGACCCAATCACAACAGCTATCTTGCACATGTATAAAATCAATGTCACAACCCACCACTAAAGGTAGTAAGTTAGAGTAAAATCTTCTAATTCATTTTGCATTACCATACAGGAAGTACTATTTTCACTTGTCACGTATTACAGTGGCCATCATTCTCATATACCACATATATGTTCTACCAATCAATATGGAACAATCGTAATATTTACAAACACATATAAGAATATAATATACTACAATAAAAGTATAATAGTATATATATATAATATTATATAATTATATATATATGTGATTATATGTGTATGTATAAATAATATTTAAAACGTTATATCATATAAACATATATAATATATATTAATATATTATAATATAATATAATCATGAAATATGATGCAATATGATGAAATATCATGAATATATATATATAATATATAATCAATATACATCAATATACTATATGCAGTAATACTATATATCAATATTATATAATATTATTCAATATTCAATATGTAGCTATAAAATCAGAACCCCAGAAAACCAGAAACATGAAGCCTCTATGAAATCCAAAAATGCAGTTCACATCCCTGGGACCTCCCATCCCCAGCAGTCCCATGTCAGAACTCCAAGATACAGCAGGCACGCCCTCTGTGGGTTGGATCTTGATTGCTGGATCTCCTGCACATTGCCCACCAAGAAGCCATAAAACATCATAAAACTTTGTCCATGGGTTTCTGCTACATCCTAGGGATTCCCAGCATTCAACATTCTGCCAAACCTTCACCATCCTGGAAGCATGTCTGAACATGTCTGAACTAGAGCACGAACCCCTCTCCTGTCACAGGCCCCTGATGCTGTTCTCGTTCTTTCTTCACTGTCACTGCTGCTGGAGCTTGCTCTTTCTTAAGAACCTGGGAGGAGTATGGTGGAGTCAGGAACTGACCAAACTGAGGAAGCTAAACAGAAAAGGAAGAAACACTAACCACAGTGAACATCCACTAGCCTCAATGCCCACATCTTTTATGAATTCTCTATAAAATCTAGACCCAATCACAACAGCTATCTTGCACATGTATAAAATCAATGTCACAACCCACCACTAAAGGTAGTAAGTTAGAGTAAAATCTTCTCTATTTTCACTTGTCACGTATTACAGTGGCTTTTCGCTCTGTAGTTTTTCTGAATGTTGAGAGATTTTTACCAAATGACAGATCAGGAATGATCAGGACTTGTTTTGACTTACTCCAAGTATGTCTTGGACATATCTTGTTTGTTTGAAAGACCTTTTTAAAATCTTTTAAACATACGCAATGTATCTCAATGCTAATGTATGTCAATGTTACAATGATATACAATGATGCTATGAAATCAGAACCACAGAAGGCCCACTAAATGGTACCTCTATAAGATCTCAATATGCACTCCAAAACAATGGCACATCTCATACCCTGCATTCCCAAATCAGAGTTTCAAGTAGCATCAGGGGGTTCGGCTTTCTCCAGTCTTCAGGTCAAAGATGATCAAAGAATATCAAAGAATATCAAAGATGATCAAAGTATATAATAGCTGGACATAGCTGGACAAGGACTGATTCCAGTATCAACCCAAAAAAGCATCAGGTGTTTTGCCGGGTTCATCGGCTGGTGTTGCTATAAAATCAGAACCCCAGAAAACCAGAAACATGAACCCTCTATGAAATCCAAAAAATTCAGTTCACATCCCTGGCACATCCCATCACCAGCAGTCCCATGTCAGAACTCCAAGATACAACAGGTCTTTCCTCCGGTTCACTGGCTGGTGCTGCTGCTGCAGTCCCCGGTGGCGTTACGGAAACCTCAGATGGCTTGGGTCAATCTCTGTAGTTTTTCTGATTTTGAGAGATTTTTACCGAGTGACAAATCAGGAATGATCAGGACTTGTTTTGACTTACTCCAAGTATGTCTTGGACATATCTTTTTTGTTCGAAAGACCTTTTTAAAATCTTTTAAACATACGCAATGTATCTCAATGCTAATGTATGTCAATGTTACAATGATATACAATGATGCTATAAAATCAGAACCACAGAAGGCCCACTAAATGGTATCTCTCTATAAGCATTCCCAAATCAGAGTTGCAAGTAGCATCAGGGGTTTCCTCGTGCGCATCGGCTGGCGCTGCAACAACGGTCTCCAGTGGCTTGTCTGAAACCTCAGATGGATCGGGTTGGTCAAAGATGATCAAAGAATATCAAAGAATATCAAAGATGATCAAAGTATATAATAGCTGGACATAGCTGGACAAGGACTGATTCCAGTATCAACCCAAAAAAGCATCAGGTGTTTTGCCGGGTTCATCGGCTGGTGTTGCTATAAAATCAGAACCCCAGAAAACCAGAAACATGAACCCTCTATGAAATCAAAAAATTCAGTTCACATCCCTGGCACATCCCATCACCAGCAGTCCCATGTCAGAACTCCAAGATACAACAGGTCTTTCCTCCGGTTCACTGGCTGGTGCTGCTGCTGCAGTCCCCGGTGGCTTTACGGAAACCTCAGATGGCTTGGGTCAATCTCTGTAGTTTTTCTGATTTTGAGAGATTTTTACCGAGTGACAGATCAGGAATGATCAGGACTTGTTTTGACTTACTCCAAGTATGTCTTGGACATATCTTTTTTGTTCGAAAGACCTTTTTAAAATCTTTTAAACATACGCAATGTATCTCAATGCTAATGTATGTCAATGTTACAATGATATACAATGATGCTATAAAATCAGAACCACAGAAGGCCCACTAAATGGTACCTCTATAAGATCTCAATATGCACTCCAAAACAATGGCACATCTCATGCCCTGCATTCCCAAATCAGAGTTTCAAGTAGCATCAGGGGTTTCCTCGTGCGCATCGGCTGGCGCTGCAACAACGGTCTCCAGTGGCTTGTCTGAAACCTCAGATGGATCGGGTTGGTCAAAGATGATCAAAGAATATCAAAGATGATCAAAGTATATAATAGCTGGACATAGCTGGACAAGGACTGATTCCAGTATCAACCCAAAAAAGCATCAGGTGTTTTGCCGGGTTCATCGGCTGGTGTTGCTATAAAATCAGAACCCCAGAAAACCAGAAACATGAACCCTCTATGAAATCCAAAAATTCAGTTCACATCCCTGGAACATCCCATCACCAGCAGTCCCATGTCAGAACTCCAAGATACAACAGGTCTTTCCTCCGGTTCACTGGCTGGTGCTGCTGCTGCAGTCCCCGGTGGCTTTACGGAAACCTCAGATGGCTTGGGTCAATCTCTGTAGTTTTTCTGATTTTGAGAGATTTTTACCGAGTGACAGATCAGGAATGATCAGGACTTGTTTTGACTTACTCCAAGTATGTCTTGGACATATCTTTTTTGTTCGAAAGACCTTTTTAAAATCTTTTAAACATACGCAATGTATCTCAATGCTAATGTATGTCAATGTTACAATGATATACAATGATGCTATAAAATCAGAACCACAGAAGGCCCACTAAATGGTACCTCTATAAGATCTCAATATGCACTCCAAAACAATGGCACATCTCATGCCCTGCATTCCCAAATCAGAGCTTCAAGTAGCATCAGGGGTTTCCTCGTGCGCATCGGCTGGCGCTGCAACAACGGTCTCCAGTGGCTTGTCTGAAACCTCAGATGGATCGGGTTGGTCAAAGATGATCAAAGAATATCAAAGATGATCAAAGATTATCAAAGTATATAATAGCTGGACATAGCTGGACAAGGACTGATTCCAGTATCAACCCAAAAAAGCATCAGGTGTTTTGCCGGGTTCATCGGCTGGTGTTGCTATAAAATCAGAACTCCAGAAAACCAGAAACATGAACCCTCTATGAAATCCAAAAATTTAGTTCACATCCCTGGCACATCCCATCACCAGCAGTCCCATGTCAGAACTCCAAGATACAACAGGTCTTTCCTCCGGTTCACTGGCTGGTGCTGCTGCTGCAGTCCCCGGTGGCGTTACGGAAACCTCAGATGGCTTGGGTCAATCTCTGTAGTTTTTCTGATTTTGAGAGATTTTTACCGAGTGACAGATCAGGAATGATCAGGACTTGTTTTGACTTACTCCAAGTATGTCTTGGACATATCTTTTTTGTTTGAAAGACCTTTTTAAAATCTTTTAAACATACGCAATGTATCTCAATGCTAATGTATGTCAATGTTACAATGATATACAATAATGCTATAAAGTCAGAACCACAGAAGGCCCACTAAATGGTACCTCTATAAGATCTCAATATGCACTCCAAAACAATGGCACATCTCATGCCCTGCATTCCCAAATCAGAGTTTCAAGTAGCATCAGGGGTTTCCTCGTGCGCATCGGCTGGCGCCGCAACAACGGTCTCCAGTGGCTTGTCTGAAACCTCAGATGGATTGGGGTGGTCAAAGATGATCAATAAAAGCTGGACAGGAACTGCTTCCAGTATCCACCTTGAAAGCATCAAGTGTTTTGTCAGGTTCATCGGTTGGTGATGCTATAAAATCAGAACCCCAGAAAACCAGAAATCATGAAACATCTATTAAAAAAACTTCCAACAAAATATTCAAACATATTCAAACAATTTCATCCCATGCCCAGCATTCCAAAATCAAAGCCCCAAGAAACATCAGGTGGTTCCATAGGTGCATCGGCTGGTTCTTCTGCAGGCCTCTTTTGCTTTTTTGTAGCCTCAGAAGGCCGGAACGACTACGAATTATTGTATGGGAAGTTGTAAAGGCCTTTTGTGGGAATCCCAAGAATCACTGTTGGTATAAAATCAAAACCCCTGGACCAATGTACTACGGGGGAAACCGACAAGGGAACCCAAAGCACCGGCACAACCCATCCCTAGGGCCCCAAGTCAACAACCCAAGAAACAGGTTTCTTTGCTTCATTGGCTGCCGTCTCTGCAGTGGTCCTCTTCCCCTTGTTTGAAACCTCAGAATGCTTGAGCTGATCCTCTTCTAGCCGCCTAGCCCAGAAATGTTTACCACAAAGCGTGCATCAATCATCATCAAACACCATCGATCTTATTCAACCCTTTCTATAAAATCCAGTCCCTGGATTACCATCACTATGCGGCATCTAGAATGTGCTTTACGCAACTGATTCCAACAAATTCCAACGTTTCAACCAAAGAAGCAGCCAGTAGCGCATCAACATCTGCCATTGGAACCTAGGTGGCATCAGTCAAGGCAAGCTTCCACCCACGGGGTAAACAAATGAGAGTGATTAAGAATGATTAAGACATAATAACTCATCTCATAGGTTCTGGTCATGAGATCTGCTACATGGTTTGGGTTTTAGTTTTATACACATTCTGCATGCTGCAGGAGGTTGGGAATGAATTTTGTAGATAAGGGACACCAACTTCACACCACTACACCCCAGCCATTTTTTTCAGCTAGTCCATGCGAATCCTACCCCAGCGCTACCCACAAGTCTGGGATAGAGTAAGACATCATGACTGCTCAACATTGTTGGTCGAGCATGAGGCCCCCAGCATGACTCACGAGATCTCACAATTGTTCACAGTCAACAAAGCGGATGCTATTACCATCTTGGTGGCACCCTCTGACAACATCATGACATCAAAAAGACGTCAAGGCTGTGCAGGCTGTGCTGGCTGCGCTTCAAGCCAGCATTTGTAGACTGCCAAGCAAAAAGAGGACGTATACTTGGCACTGGACGCCAGGTGTGGGCCACCCTGCCAGCCCTTTGACCCGTCCCGCTTCTGAACCGCTGAGTGGTAGACGCGAGGGTTTGCACGCCTGCGATTGCGCTTTTCAAACCTCGCATTGAAATGCGTTCGGTCTTTCTCGGTCATGACCTTCCTCATGCTCTGGATAGCCCTACAATTGGAAAGAAGGTGTGTTGCCTTCAAGAGGTCATGGTTATAGAACGCCATCCATGTCGTTGTTCTCGTCCTGTCTGTGGTCAAGGTCTCTGAATCATGGAGCGTTACGACTCATCCCACAACAGCAAAGGATAGGACACAAACAAAAAAGATCAAACTTTTTTTTTGAAAAAAAATATGTGTAAAAATGCTATAACTTTGTCGAGGCACATGTTCCCGATTTTGATGAGTTCACGGAAGTACTCTTGTTTCAGGGCCCATGATTGAGAAGGCTGCTCAACGCATATGAAGACACCCCGATGGATGATGGCCTTGAGAACCACTGCCTGATTGCAAGCACTATTATGGAGTATTCTGTACTACATGTTCAACAAAAACAATATATATATATATTATATCTAAAATATATTATATTATTATTGTATATTATATAATTAATTTGCTAAAAGATATATAAAATTATATAAATATATATAAATATAATTCCATTTAATATCATTTAATTATAAAGCCAATTAAACCATGTAAAAACCAAGTCACAAAGTTCTTCCAAATGCGGTTGCTCATCCGGACTTTGAACCACCTGGTATCACCTTCCAGCCGCCATTCAGAACGGCGGTGTAACGACTGGCAAGCATTTACCATCAGCGAGCACGGTGGTCCAGCCATTGCCAAGCCAAAAGGAAGCAACCTGAGCGCACTGCAGGTCAAACAAGCTCTGTATAAAATCTAAACCTGGGATTGCCATCTTCCATGCCCTCTATAAAAACAAAAAGAACTCAATACCAACATGAGCTCAACACATCCAAACCCTGCACGACCATCTGGGGACAGGAAACGCTAGACATAGGTTCAGCAAACGGTAAAACCCGTCCCTGGAACACAAATCATCCCGCTCGTCAAGTGCAATGTCATATGCTGCCGCAGCAAAGCCACAGCGGGACCATTGGCGCCTTGGAAACAAAGCTCACATGAATCCATGATATAGGTACAAGATAGTACAAGTATGATCCCTTAATGTTGTCTATGCACACAAGACATCACAAGAATACCAGGTGATCCCAGGTGTTTGTAATTACAGTTTTATAATGTTTTATATTTGAGCTTGTCAGGTCATCAGTTTGAACCAAGCATCTTGATGCGTTGGCTAAAGCCAAAGCAATTAATAACATGGTAGACCCTTGTACCGGACCATGCTTGAACGTAGTTGCCAATTTCCTCGAGGTGGTCTTCTGCTGCAAACCACCTATCACAGGCCGATGCTTCGTGTTCGTGGACATGTTTTATATGTGATTAAATGATATTAAATGATATTCTATGGGTATATAATCCAAACCCTGATTGCAAACCATAAATCCATAACTGGGGACCCACTGGGGAACATACGGTAAACATATGTAAACATTATTACTGTAAGTACCCATCACTGGGGAACAACTGTTACACCCTGAGCCGTTCTGCATATTTCTTGTTGATGGGTCTTCATTTTATAGACAATAAATAACAATAATGTACAGAATTGTAATCATGTTGCTGCCTAGGCTCTGACCCTCTGGAATGCTACATGTTGTATCCACGTCTGTTTTGGCGGACGTCGCCAACACCAGCAGCACTGCAAGCGTGAGGCTCTTCAACATGGGGCCGTGTGGCTGGCAAAAGCAAGATGAAAACACAGGCAGGAACGGGCCACAAATGCTAAAGCAAAAGGAAGAGCCACCGAGTTCAATGCACAACATTCCAAAAAGCTCCCGGACATCAATCATCCCGGGCATTCCCTGTCTACTCATTCCAATATCAACCCATATGATGCTATTTCAACACTAGTCCAATAATATCAAATCAAAACATATCATAACCAATGTATCTACACAATGTCTTTTAATGTTCATCAATTTCAAAGGCATGTTGAAAAGAATCAAAAAAAATCAAAGCCTTTTCAAAACATACTCAATGTTACAAGGTTGCTATAAAGTCAAAACCCCAGAAAACCAGACACCTGAACCCTCTATGAAATCCAAAACTGCAGTTCACATCCCTGGCACACCCCATCCCCAGCAGTCCCATGTCAGAACTCCAAGTAGCATCAGGGGTTTCCTCCGGTTCATTGGCTCGTGCTGCCGGTGCTGCTGCTGCAGTCCCTGGCTTCTCTGCAACCTCAGATGGCTTGGGTCAATCTCTGTTGTTTTTTTACGATTTGGAAAGATTGTATCAAAGTGACAGCTCAAGACTTATTTTGACATATTTGACTCCAAATACTTAAAGTATCTTAAAGATTCTTAAAGTATGTTTTATATTGTTTTATATTGTTTTATACATTCTTTGTTTGAGAGACCTTTAAAACAAACTCAATGTTAAGGTTACAATGATGCTATAAAATCAAAAACCCAGAAGCCCCACTACATGGGAACTCTATAAGATCCAAATATGTAATCCACAACAATGGCACATCCCAGCAATCCCAGCACGGAAATCCAAGATACAGCATGTGCTTCCTTAGGCGCATCGTCTGGTTCTTGTGCACCGGGCTCGGCTGCCTTCTCTGAAACCTGAGAATGTGTGAATCTTTGTTCACAAACTTCACAACCGTTCAAATGATTTCAATACAAAGGGTGATATGGTCTAATAATGTCTAATATACACGGCGTATTACTTTTCATCTGAATCTACAGGGTTTCAAAAGCATATTCCAAATAAAAGAACCAACAAGTGCAAAACTGTTTGAGCTTATTCAATGGTACAATCTTGCTATAAAATCAAAAACCCAGAAGCCCCACTACCTGGGAACTCTATAAGATCCAAATGTGCAATCCACAACAATGGCACATCCCAGCATTCCCAAATCAGAGCCCCAAGAAACATCAGGTGTTTCTTTAGGCGCATCGGTTGGTTCTTCTGCACCGGGTTCCGCTGGCTTCTCTGAAACCTCAAATGGCTTGGGTTGATGAAAGTATATTCAATATTGGCTTGGGTTGATGGGAGATGATGTAGAGTTTTATATTTGATCTATATAATTTCTATATACTATATCCAATGGCACATTCCAAAAAATAAACGAACCAACAATTGCCAAACTGTTTAAGCTGATTCAATGGTACAATCTTGCTATAAAATCTAAAACCCAGAAGCCCCACTACCTGGGAACTCTATAAGATCCAAATATGCAATCCACAACAATGGCACATCCCAGCATTCCCAAATCAGAGCCCCAAGAAACATCAGGTGTTTCCTTAGGCGCATCGGCTGGTTCTTCTGCACCGGGTTCCGCTGGCTTCTCTGAAACCTCAAATGGCTTGGGTTGATGAAAGTATATACAGTATATTACAGTATACTATTTCAATATTGGCTTGAGTTGATGAGAGATGATGAGAGTATATTTACCATCGATCTTATCCAACCCTTTCTATAAAATCCAGTCCCTGGATTACCATCACTATGCGGCATCTAGAATGTGCTTTACTCAACTGATTCCAACAAATTCCAACGTTTCAACCAAAGAAGCAGCCAGTAGCGCATCAACATCTGCCATTGGAACCTAGGTGGCATCAGTCAAGGCAAGCTTCCACCCACGGGGTAAACAAATGAGAGTGATTAAGAATGATTAAGACATAATAACTCATCTCATAGGTTCTGGTCATGAGATCTGCTACATGGTTTGGGTTTTAGTTTTATACACATTCTGCATGCTGCAGGAGGTTGGGAATGAATTTTGTAGATAAGGGACACCAACTTCACACCACTACACCCCAGCCATTTTTTTCAGCTAGTCCATGCGAATCCTACCCCAGCGCTACCCACAAGTCTGGAATAGAGTAAGCCATCATGACTGCTCAACATTGTTGGTCGAGCATGAGGCCCCCAGCATGACTCACGAGATCTCACAATTGTTCACAGTCAACAAAGCGGATGCTATTACCATCTTGGTGGCACCCTCTGACAACATCATGACATCAAAAAGACGTCAAGGCTGTGCAGGCTGTGCTGGCTGCGCTTCAAGCCAGCATTGGTAGACTGCCAAGCAAAAAGAGGACGTGTACTCGGCACTGGACGCCAGGTGTGGGCCACCCTGCCAGCCCTTTGACCCGTCCCGCTTCTGAACCACTGAATGGTAGACGCGAGGGTTTGCACGCCTGCGATTGCGCTTTTCAAACCTCGCATTGAAATGCTTTCGGTCCTTCTTGGTCATGACCTTCCTCATGCTCTGGATAGCCCTACAATTGGAAAGAAGGTGTGTTGCCTTCAAGAGGTCATGGTTATAGAACGCCATCCATGTCGTTGTTGTCGTCCTGTCTGTGGTCAAGGTCTCTGAATCATGGAGCGTTACGACTCATCCCACAACAGCAAAGGATAGGACACACACAAAAAAGATCAAACTTTTTTTTTGAAAAAACTATGTGTAAAAATGCTATAACTTTGTCGAAGCACATGTTCCCGATTTTGATGAGTTCACGAAAGTACTCTTGTTTCAGGGCCCATGATTGAGAAGGCTGCTCAACGCATATGAAGACACCCCGATGGATGATGGCCTTGAGAACCACTGCCTGATTGCAAGCACTATTGTGGAGTATTCTGTACTACATGTTCAACAAAAACAATATATATATATATATATTATATATATATATATTATATATAACATGTTATAGTATCATTATATTTTATATAATTAACTCGCTAAAAGAATCTAAAAGATATATAAAATTATATAAATATATATAAATATAAATTCATTTAATATCATTTAATTATAAAGCCAATTAAACCATGTAAAAACCAAGTCACAAAGTTCCAAATGCGGTTGCTCATCCGGACTTTGAACCACCTGGTATCGCCTTCCAGCCGCCATTCAGAACGGCGGTGTACCGACTGGCAAGCATTTACCATCAGCGAGCATGGTGGTCCAGCCATTGCCAAGCCAAAAGGAAGCAACCTGAGCGCACTGCAGGTCAAACAAGCTCTGTATAAAATCTAAACCTGGGATTGCCATCTTCCATGCCCTCTATAAAAACAAAAAGAACTCAATACCAACATGAGCTCAACACATCCAAACCCTGCACGACCATCTGGGGACAGGAAACGCTAGACATAGGTTCAGCAAACGGTAAAACCCGTCCCTGGAACACAAATCATCCCGCTCGTCAAGTGCAATGTCATATGCTGCTGCAGCAAAGCCACAGCGGGACCATTGGCGCCTTGGAAACAAAGCTCACATGAATCCATGATATAGGTACAAGATAGTACAAGTATGATCCCTCAATGTTGTCTATGCACACAAGACATCACAAGAATACCAGGTGATCCCAGGTGTTTGTAATTACAGTTTTATAATGTTTTATATTTGAGCTTGTCAGGTCATCAGTTTGAACCAAGCATCTTGATGCGTTGGCTAAAGCCAAAGCAATCAATAACATGGTAGACCCTTGTACCGGACCATGCTTGAACGTAGTTGCCAATTTCCTCGAGGTGGTCTTCTGCTGCAAACCACCTATCACAGGCCGATGCTTCGTGTTCGTGGACATGTTTTATATGTGATTAAATGATATTAAATGATATTCTATGGGTATATAATCCAAACCCTGATTGCAAACCATAAATCCATAACTGGGGACCCACTGGGGAACATACAGTAAACATATGTAAACATTATATATTACTGTAAGTACCCATCACTG